AGTTTAGTTGTAAACAACAAGAGTGCTTACTTTTTCCGGCCCATCCGCTCGATCGGACGCGAGACAGTCCCAAGGACCTTCTGTGAGGTTCCATGGGGACGCCGATCCAATCCGTAGGCCAGCGACAACGCAACGGCGCTCGGGCCTCAAACCGCCTCACCGGGCGGAGCTTTGCGTGTCAAGAAGCATCGCTTTGGCCCCAAACGCCGGGCGCAGTTTTATGCCAGTGGCTTGTTCTTTAGGGGACCTCCCCAAAAAGAGGCTTTTCCCTTTGGGGTTTCCCTTCAAACCAAAACAGGGGGTACCCTCAAAAGAAAGATACACCCATAGTTGGTGATGTTGGGCTTTAGACCGCGCGCAGGCAATACCTGTGACTTCGGCTTTTCCATGAGTCCACGGTTCCGTGTGGCACAAAAACCGTTTTCGTGTTTTTTGTTCATGGGTCGGTTCCGGTATGCGTTCACCTTGTCCTTCCCCCCAAGGTCATTTTGCTGGTGCGATAGGTAGGGAATGACTGACCGTTTCGGGATTCCCGAATAAAGGACATCAAATGGGGGGCGGTCTTTTCTCGGGGTCATTGCCTTTCTCATTCCCTCGCCTGCCTCAGGCTGCGAGTCCGGTTCGATCGGCCCATGGAAAGTGCGGCGGCGGCTTTGGTGAAGCTGGACGGCGCTCAAGTCTTCAGCTGCTCGGCAATGGAGGGAACAGCAGGGCCCCGGAGAAAAAATGAGAGATTTATCCTGTCCATGTTGCCATGCAACACAAAAAGGCCCTCTTAAGAACAATTTGGGACCCTGGAACGTCAGGTTCCATGTTAGTGGATGGGAGGGTAGATGTCATTTGCTGTTTTCGGGGACAGATCAACTTGCAAAGGGAGTTGGGGGGATGTAAGCCGGGTGTGAGGGGAAGGGGGGAAGGGGGGAAGGCAGGAGGTGCGATTTATGGTCGCATCATCCCTGGAATTCCATCTATGGCTGCGGTACAAATTTGCGGTACTGTAGTAGTTCTTGAAGGTTTGATGTGTGAAAGCTCGAAGCGTACGGGCCGTTGTTAGTTGTCAATCCAGACAGATGTCACGAATGAGCCGGAGGTAAAGTCTAGGTTGTACCTTATGAACGCGCGCGCGATGTTCGCAAGCGAGCAAGGGAGAAGGCGAGCTCAGAGGTAAGACGTAAGCGAACTGGATAGCAAGGTGGCGACCACGCCAAGGGAGCATGGAAACATGCACCGCGTAAACTAGGAAACAAGTGACCATAAGATTTCTGGGCAGTCAGCCAGAAAGCAGGTCCGGCTTTGACGATTTGACGCAAGAAACGTCACATCAGCTCGATTGTTTTGGCGTTTCCTTCTCCCATTTCTCCTCCGTTCGAGGCTGTACCGATGCTACCTGCCAGGCGGGCCTTTGTCATTGGGGCTGTGGAATGATGTGGAAACACCAAAATGGCCACTTGGTGAATGGAAACAAAGACCAACACCTGCGTAGCCCTAGCTCTTTCATTTTGAGCCAAACCCAAGCAACAATGTAATGTGAGTAGTGTGCATAGAAGGCAGCTCCAAAGCACAATGCGGGGCCAGCAGCTGAGCAAGTCCGGATCTGAATTCTGAATGCCCCGCCCAAACAAGAGCATACGCCAGGTGCGTTTCATGCCAGCGTTTTTTGCTCTTGACCATTCCGTCAGATGTGTCATTGGCAGAAGGCCTCCTTGAAGTGATGATCATCAAACCAGAGGTCTTTGTGACAACCACTCGGACACACAGACACACACACACACACCACACAGCAGGAACTTGAGCCTCTCAAGGGGTTTCGCCCAGGACAGGAACTTAAGCCTTGCCAGAAGGGAAGCTTGCCCCCGTTCGAGGCCATCCGAGGGACAATCCCAAACTGGCAATTGACATTTTGATAGGGACCACTTCCAGCCACAATTCGGATTTGCACAAAGAAGCAGAAGGAATGCCATGGATCCGTGATTCTTTGTGCGAGGGTGAACGGGACTGGTCTGGAATTCATACACGAAACCAGGCAGCTAAGCAGACTACGCTCACCAATCTCTGGAACTCGGTCGGATGCATGTTTTGCGGTTACGCCCACGTCCCTTGTTGGTGCATGTTTGGTCCATTTCTGGCTTTAGTACCCTTCAGGGGTAATCCACATATGCCCAAAGCATGCCCTGGAGAATCCAGTGTGACTTTGGGGCTTGAGTAAATGTTTGGTTCCCCTTTAAATCAACCTCCAAAGGCGGAAATTGCCCTTCCTTTAGCTTCCCCTTGGCCGTTTGGACGCCGAGAGAACTCCGTTTGCAGAATTGCCCCCATAGATCAGTTTTAAGAAGGTGCCACTGGTGACAGGGCCGCACAAACTGAGGGATACGACAGGCAGCCACGGAAGGTCTGTTGCATAAATCTGATCAATTCATCACCGGTGCTTCCGTTCGCAGGAGCTGACAGCGGAGATGCCCTTGTCCGAAGGCTTTCACCAGGCGAGAGAACGCAGGGCACCGGCGCAGCTTTGGGAGCTTTGGAGTCGCCCTTCCCAAGACGATTTCTTGGCAGGCCATGAGTCTGGATATTCGGCAGGCCATCTTGGCCATGTGTGACAATGATCCCACTTGGTAGCTACTGGTATGATGGGTAGAGGTAAGATGACAGGACACATGGCAGAGGTTTTTGGTCTCGTTTTGGCTGCGCTTGTTGGGCTCCAGGAGGAAGCGGCCGAGGGTTAGCTGCTCCCTGAACATGTGGGCGTTTCTCACAGGGGCAACAACAATGGGTGGTTCCTTGTCACCTGTGTGGCCTGTGTGGTTCCTTTAAAACAACCATCCCAAAAGGGGGGGTCCACCATTTAGAGACACCTCCATATGAGGTTTGTCCAGTGATCTGCGGTCGATTTGGGAGGGCATGGGGCAATTCTAGATTCCCAAGCCCCGTTTTTGCTGGGCGGGGGGGGGGGGGGTTCCTGATTTGTCCATTTAGGCGGCAGCATAATATACTTCACTATTGCTGTCTTATTGGACCTCCGATGGGCCGTGGTTTTTCATCTGCCTTTGTAGCACAAAAGGTCGTGGTGAACTCCCACCAGGAACCCAAACCGCAGGCTGTCATGAAATTCCTGGAAGGGTTGAGCATCCAAAGCACCCAGGCCATCCACCAAGTGCCAAGCATCGCCTTCGGTACTCGTGACATTCCGGGGATATTCCTTTTGTGGGGTTGCTCCGAGTCACATGACAATCGACTTAGGGTGGAACATCGGTTAGGTTGCCTTGGGTGTTCCATGGCCGTTTTTGCCAAGGCCATGCTTCTGTTTGGCTATGAGCAAGAAAAGGTTCCAAAACTGAATGAACGGGGTTCCATGCAAGGAAGATTTCAGTCAGGGCCCACCATTTTTGCTCCAAGGGCATGTTTGCTCCGTCCCTGTACCAAAGCTACTTCGAACGCAATGACATCATGAGTTATGATATTTTTCGACCAGAGAATGCTATATATAGTGTCAGCACAATGCCTAATTTGGAAAGCTTCACAAACCTCAAGTCGAGGCGTTCCGGTAATTCATGCAAGCTGCCTTTTTGACGGTTCGGATTGATCATCCCAGATTGACATGAGACTCTGTGCATGCAGACATAGGCAGTTGCGGAGCTTCCTAAACTGCTGGGGTCTTGTGCTTCACATGTCCTGCGTTCCAGATTCGCTTGTACCTGAAAGCCCCCCGAAAACAACACTGGCAGGAAAGCGCCGGGTGCATTTGTTTTGCCAATTATTCTGGGCTCGTTCTGGCCAAACAACTCAGGAAGTGAGACAACTTGCTGGTGCTCAGCACGGAATCAGGGAACGACCCATAAAAATAATCCCTTGTGGTTTCCCCTCCTGTTGATTCTACTGAGAACCAGCAGGACAAAGGGTCGCTGGGCTGATGACCAAGCCAGCCGCCAAAAGGCGAATCTGTCAGGTGACGGTGGAGCGTGCTTCCAGCGGAGACGGCCAGCAGATGTTTTCCAGCTTCCAGTCCAGCTTCGTTGTCCGGAAGCCGAGGGTCGCTTAGGTCGCTTGGGCATCAGCTTCAAAAAATCAAGCTTTGTTTGAGGGCGCCCCTTTTCTGGTGCCACTACCTTGGGGGGTCCCCATAAAGCAGAGACACGCCCGCTGAGGACCAGAGGATTCCCTGGAAGTCTGGTCCTTCGAATGGACGGTGCTTGGGGCGTTTCGGTTTCAAAACAGGGCGATCCGGCCACCTGGAGACCTCCAGAACGTCACAAGGCCGGTTCGTGATAGCCACGGTGAAGTGACCATTCTGGGAGGTCGGCTAGTTTTCAGATTAAATGATCCCGGACTTTGAATTGGGCATTCGCCGGAATCGGGGTCATGACATGCAAGACATTGCCCGCCAAAGATGCCACACCCAAGTTGGGTGGATATCCTCAACTGGGTGGTAGGTTGGCCTTTTTGAGGCATCAGCTTTGTTTGTCAGGCAGGCGCAGTGGCCTTGCAGCTTACTGTTGGCTCAAGGCAATGCTTTGGTCGACGTTCTATGGCGCGCTCATCCCCGGCCTTACAAACATATTTCAATCTAAGCCTAGATTGATGTAGTTTGCGACACGGCGCTAAGAAGATCTGACCTGCTGCATCGTGGGGTACTTGTATCTCTTTTGTTTGAGCCACCGAAGACTACTGCAGAGGCTGGGCGGCGGACTTTTTTGGGGTAGTATACTGAATTAGGTCGAGGTAGGAACACCCCCAAAACGAGGTGGGGCCAGAACATATAGGTGTTCGAGATCACAAACACATGCTACGTTGGAAAAAGAGATCAAGGAGTCCAAGCGAGTGCAGTTGGAGAACGAGGTGGGAACACCTGACCGTTCAACCATGTAGCCAGAGACTGCCGTAAATCATATGGCGGGGAACCCCTCTTGTTTTTTGTGGACACAAACATTTGTGTAAATGATGCTCCTGAAAGGCCCCCAATCAAGATTCCGGCCAGTATCCGCTTTATCACTGCACATATACATGTGATTGCTTTGGCGCAAGCTGTAGCTGATGCGTTTCGCGCTCCTGCCACTGGCCTTGGCTGTCCGCACTGGCCTCTGGGTGGCTTGGACAGCCTTTGGAGTGGCCCTTGGACCGGATCACACTTGGTTTGGTAGCCAGAGACGGATCCCTTTCCCGCGAGGCCTTGGTTTTCCTGGTTTTGCTGGGTGGAAAGGGCTGGGATGTGTTTGCTTGGCAACATGATGACCACGTCTCCAGTGTGAAACATCCTACGCGTTTGTTTTCACCTGGTGTCTCATCAATATGGAACCGACCCTGTGGCCACGGTTTCCTTTTGGGTGCGTCTTTCTCTCATTTGAACCCCCCAAATGGTGGGCTTTAATGCAAACCGACCAAAAAAAAACAAAAAAGGGGGGGAACAACAAAAACACGGCACCATGAAAAACAGCAACGGGTGTAAGCAGAAGGGTGTGGCCCAACATTTTACCAAGCTAGGCAAAAAGTCCCAACTACCAAGGAGGGCTCCATTTGTGTGGGCTTCGATCATTTTGATGTTGAGGCAACCGCGTCACTCGAGGGGTTGACTCCTTGTCCCTTCCTTTCAACCATCGTTCTTTCCCTTAAAAGCCGGCCGTTTGCCGTGGGCTTCCAAGGAGGTTTTCTAGAAAGATCCGGATTTTTGGGTTCAGAATGGAAATGGAAGGTACTCCCTAGAGTCACATGGCTCATGGTTTGGGCTTGGAGTCGGTGAGTCGCCTCGCCGCACGAGGACATCTCCAAAGACCCGGATGTGCTGCCACGAGATCTGGAGCTCGAGGAGGTGCGAGCGAATTCACCCCAAATGGTGGTTGATGTGGGGAAAATCCCTCCAAGCACCTTATCTCAGGTGGCTGAAATATTAGAATTTGCCCGGATCAGTGTTCAACCTGTGAAAAAAGCCAATGGCCGGGCCAAGGGGGAAGGCCAAGGGCTTTGTAGCGATACAGCATGCAGCAGAAAACACGAGAAACATATGCGGATGATACTGTGGACAGACAAATCCCTGGAGTTTGGATGGATGAAACCCTGTAGATGCTGGGGTAAACCATCTACCAACTGGCACAGCATTTTGTGCCCCCACGGTATAAATGCACTTACACAGTCATAGGCTGGCTACTGAGATGTAGTGCATTGTGATATGCTATACAGACAACATATTGATTGACCATGCGCGAGTGCGACCAACTACTTCTTGCAGGGAACCTACCATCCTGCCGACTTGAGGTCAGTTTGGCTATTTAGATACCTTGGCTACCCTGCTTCAGCTCGCCCTGACTGTCAACACTGGTTCCTTTGTCAAAAGCTGCCATCTTCTGCAATTCCACTGAATTCCCATTGACCGGTGTTCCAGGTCGACCTGACATTCAAACATTTTTCGCTTGTTAGACATGGGACCCAGAAGGGTGTCCTCTCAAGAAGCAAACCTCCTTTCAACATCTGGGCTTTGGTTGAGTTCCATGGCAATGTTCAGACGAGTACCGAGTCCGAAACATGGCCCCAACGGGAGACACAACATTGATTTGCCTTGATTTCTCAATGATGGGTTCAGTCTCAACCCGTTTGTATCCAGTTGGTTGGCTCAGATGCCCCTACTTGTCAGAGGAAGCCCCTAAATGAATCATTTCCTTGCAGAAAAGAAACTGCTTTTTACTATTCCGGTCATCCGGATGAATCCGAAGAGAAATGCGCTGGTTGAGTGGATGAAACCCCTTTTGGTAAAGACCGCAATTCCCGTGGGTGCCTCCCCACCCATTTCCCTTTGCCTGGTCCCATTTGGTTTTTCATGATCCAAGTCACCCCCCCCAAGTGGTAGGATGGGAACCAAGCCCATTCTCTGACTTCAACCTCAAAATGGCATCGGTTTTCCCGTTGTGGCTTACTTCTAAAAGCCACTAAACAAGGGCGTTTCCAACTCAAAAACAAGCCATGCCAACTACCTGTTATTGAGATCTAAAGCTTAGGTTGTCCTGATTGAAACCCGCCAACAACCCCACCAAAACCCACTAAAACCCACGAAAACCCACTAAAACATGGGGTTTCCATCAAAACCAGGCGAGCGCCGCCCTCTTCCCTCGGCCCATCTCCGCCTCGCCTCGACGCCTCGCCTCCCGAGGCCTTGGCGCGGGTGCTGCGCGAGGGAAGTGGCGCGCGCTGGGCGCGCGGCCACGCGCTGCTGGGGGCGCTGTGCCACTTCTGGCGGCCCCAGAACCGCCCGGCGGCCCAAAGCGCTCGGGGAAAGGTGGGGGCGGCAAAGGATTCGCATCCCATTCGGGGGGTGGGGGATCCAGGAAATGGGAACCCGAAAGAATCCATTATTTTTTTGGGGGGGGGCCAGAATTGTAGCCGGCGCCGAAGGCTTGTGGAATACCGGGGGGGCGGGGGTAGTTGGGAGGGGCGGGGGGTGGGGGGTGGTGTAGGGGGAGGGGGAGGGTGGTCGGTCCTAAGGAACCCTAAGTGCTAAGGACCCCACTGAACCCTGGACCCTCCTGGCCGCAAGCGCCCAAGCCTTGTGGAGAAAGCCGAGAGGGGTAGGCCTCCCTATCCGAACAGGTAATTGTCGTATGTGTTTGGTAGAAGCTGAAAAATCTCTGAAGCCTGTTGTAAGTTGTGCGTTTCCAGAAATGAATAATATGAAACTTTATGCAACTACTCCTTTAGTTTTAAAACATAGGAAGAATAACAAATCAAAAAACGACGTTGGCACCGCCACCTCCGCGGACCCCCGGACAAGCGCATTCCTCGTAAGGAGCCGTAGGAACCCCCAAAGGGCCGAAGCGCCGGCCTTTTCCTGTCACGAAACGCCGCGGAAGAGTTCGGGGCTTCCCAAAAGCGGAAAGGCAGTGGCCATTTAGAGCTGGGTTATGTTGTATAATTGTCCGTTGTTTTTGGCTTCTGTAAGCCATGTGGGTCTGTTTTTTTTTTTTTTGGTATACCCTTGAAGCCTGTCAAATGGCCGCGGCTTTGCAGGCGCCTTCTACGGGCGGTTTAGGACCTTCCCATGAGCTGCGCATGCGGTTTGAATCCCGAGTCACGTGCTACGGTAGCCGTAAATATCGCAGCATGGGAAATGGGACTCCGTAACCTGAGGCCTGGAAGACAAGTCGCTTTTATTTTTTTCAGGGCCCCTGTCAGGTTCCAGATTCCAGGTCAATTGGTGGGAGGGTCAGATAATTTTGCATAGTTTTGCGCTGTATGGTTGGCTTCCTTCCTAACATTTAGGTCATTTGTAGCTAGGTTCTGAGAGCTGTGCTAGCAGCTCCGGCATTTATGACCTCTGGTCTGTGTGATGCTGGGGTGAGACAGCGCGAATGGGCCTCGTTATTGGATCAGCTCTGCCACTTGCAACAGCAGCAACCGCTAGAGGTGACAGCAACAATCCATGGGCGCTGCAGTGGCAGCGGAAGCAGAATCCACAAACCAAACCAAAACAGGGCCCTTGAGCTTGCTTGGCTGACTGTTGCTTGGAATGAGCCGACCCAGACCCACATACCGCCCGCCAGGTCCATGTCGATATGGGTCTGTCGTAACTTGGACCTATGTTTTGGCCGGTTTCACCAACTTTCTGAGAGGGTCATGATTTATAGGGGTTACCTTTCCGTGATTTTCCCAGGGACCATGATTTGGCCGGTTTCACAGGGTAACTTTCTGAGAGGCTTAGGTGTGAGCCACAGAGCCGCAGGTTAACCCAGTCTTTTGCTGAGTTCCCGTCAAGGACTTCGGGCCAGTGAGGTAGCTGTGCTGCCTACCGCATCCGCATCGCCCTGCGGCTGAACCACCACGATGAGGCCTTTCCACCGCATCCGTGGATCCGTGGCGGTGGGTTCTGAACCGAATTCATCCATGGAAGGCAACCATCTCAAGGTTTTTTCGACATCCCAGTCACCCCTGTCACTTTGTGGCGTTGTGATGACCCTCACAACATTGCGCCCAGTAAGGCTCTCAGACTTGTGATGTCCCAAGTCTGACGGTCGCGAACGAGTCTGACCAAACTCACAATCAACACCTGGGTAGATGCAAGCTTGAAGCATGGGTCAACCATTTTGATACCGGGTTTGGAGTATGACTCACCTATGCTCCCTTGATTGGGGAATTCGGTTTGTGTGAATGGGACTGCTTTTGATTGGGGAATACCGGGTTTTGATTGTGACTCAGCTGACTTTAAGCACCCCCAGGAACAGTCAGAAGAACTTCCGTGTGCTGAAATGAATACTTTGCCCAAAGAAATTAGCTCCCGGCACCCAGGCCCCCCAACCCGAGAGCATGGCAGGTGGCGTTGCTGGCTGCTGCTGCCATGGAGGCCGACAGCATGCCCCGGGTCTTCTCCTGCCCGCGGTGCAAGGAGAGGCCGTGTGGGGCACTTTGGATGCCGCACATGTGGTTTTCCCCAGAATTCGGTCCCCCGCTGTTTTTTGCTTTCAAAGGGGTCCCCTTTGTTTTCCACTGGGCAAAAAATATGTGTTTTTTTGCTGGGGTCCTAGTTCCAGCCAAGTGGTTACATGTGGGTATGGGGCAAAATTAAACCACCAGGAATTGGACCGCAGGTTTTAGAAACCATGTTTCCATTTACCAGGGTTTCATTTGAGGTACTGATTTTTGACCCACACCCATGTGTTGCGCACTTTTGATGCCGCCCCTGTGGCCTTTCCCCGACCATTTCAGTGGTAAAGCAAGTCCAACTCAAAAAGTTTGAGTTTGTTTGCTTTTGTTGGCCAACTTTCCTTTTTGGGAAGCAGCCATTTTTATAAATAATAAGTTTGGTTGCTTCTTGTTGGCCAATGCACTTAAGAAGCAAGCTACACTCTAAGACTCTGCCAGCACTTCTTCGGATTTAGTGGATCCACTGCTTTTTGCTGCCAAAACACCCTGTGGACTTTGACCCCGGCTGTCCAGCCCTTTCGTCACCGCTTTCTGGATAAATTCCGAGGCCTCTTGAGCCAAATTCCGGCGACTCCGGCGCATGAGCCAACATTGTTTCGGTGTGTCCAAGCCTATTGCATTGCGACAATTTGCCTCATGGAACGCAAGGCAGATTTACTGAAAACAGCCCTGCGCGATTGTATTCCCACAGCTGTTGCAAGACTGCACAAGGAGTTCCTGTATTTGGCCGATGCTTTTGGTAAGCTTACTTGTGAACCTTAAGAGTTATTTGCTAGTGCTGGAGGCACTTAGATTGAAACATATGGCTTGCCACAGTTTGCTCAAGAGCCACCCGTCTGCGTGTTGTGCTCATGCGGACAGTATTCTGGCTCGCCTTGGGTGAGGAATCGTAAGATAGTTGTTTCTCAAAAAGGTGGACACCTTTTGGTAAGGGAAATACAAAGCCCTTGCCATTTTGGAACACCGATTCCTGTGAGGCCCCATCTGATGTGAGGGGTTTTCACTGCCCATGTTTTGCTGGGTTCAGATAGGTCTGTCAGTCGGGGTGTCCTCCATTTCCATGTTTGACACCTCCAAAAGTGGATCGATCACTCCTCAATTTATCAACTTTTGCTTTGGGAAAATCCGGGCAGCCACCCACCCCACCCACACCCCACCCCACCCCACCCCACCTCACCCCTCCCCACCCCACCCCACGCCACCCCACCCACACCGCCACCCCACCCACACCCACACCCCACCCCAGCCCTCCCCACCCCACCACACCCCGCCAGGACAGCCGTCTGAAGAAGGTGCCCCACAGCATGACGTCCATGGAGTCCATGGTTTGGCGCAGCCTGAACGGCACTGAAGCTCGCCGCATGCGAAGGCAGAGGCGCGATGCTCCGCCACGGATTGGGTAACAGACACATACATGGGTGGCTCGTTTGTTTTAAGATTACACCATTAACAAAATTAACGTGTTTTTTCTTGTGTTGTCCCCCGAACACCAAACAAGGGAGTGCCAACTCTAAAGCAGACACACCCACATGTATAATCATGTAAGACTTTCAGATCCATGTTTTCAGTAGTTTGTCATTATTTGCAGAGGCTGAGTGAGCTCCTCACCGGACGCAGCAATACATATGTTCAGTCCACGTGTGTATCGTTCAAAGCGACGATGATGGTGTCGTGGTATCGTGGACTTGGACTGCCTAAGAGAGTGCGCGGTTCCAACAAGACGCCAGTTTGACCACGTGACCCTTTTGGTTGCCAAGTTTAGGTGCGCTTCCTTTTGGGGTGATTAAGGAGGAATCATGTAGGTACCTGAAAGTCCACAGTGACTCGTTGGGAAACCACCCGCTTTCTCCCGTCCTGTTTTGCTCTTCATAGGTTTCCCAGCAAATTACCCAACATGTATTTATAATTCCTATGGCTATTATTATATTATGTTACCTTGGCAACTTTTCCTAAGAAGAAGCAAAGACAGTTCTTTGATCCAAAGACTGACACTTTGGTTGTCCTATGTTGGCTTGCCGGAACTTTGCTGCAATCCGGTCAAACAAGTTTTTAAGATGAAGGCCAGACCCCCGATCGATACTGCTATAGCAGGCAACCAACCTTTTTTCCTTTGGGCTTTTGAGGAGCGGTTCCTTTGTTTGCCTACATAGGTAGATGCAGACTGGGCAACTGGGCATGTGGTTTCGCCTTGAGCCTTCCCTGGGGAGCCAACAGGTCGTTCGGTTTGTGGCTACGGAGCTCTGTGAGGGGGGGTAAGTACAAGTGGCGGGCCCTGGAATTTCCTTGGTGTAGGGCTCCCTGGCCGCTTCCCGGCCGTCCCCTTAGGCTTCTGGGCTGGGTGTCCATCTAGCTGTTAGCAGGGGATCTGAAAACGGAAAGCCTAGATCCTTGGAGTTTCTTAGAGAGGCTTAGGAAACCAGAAACAAGCAAGTTAGGCAACCAATTTCCCAGCTGGGTTACAATCAACTAACAGGGTTGACTGCGCTTACGGGGACTGACCGAACGTTTACCGTTACAACTTGGCAACGAGCACCCAAGTATTGAAAACGTCAAAACGAAACCATACTGTGGAACAAAGCACCACTTGAGCGTTCTGCCAAGTTTGTGAGTTGTGGGTAACCTAGGTGACAACCCACTCCACTCATAAGTCCCCCGTTCAGTGGAGCTAGCTCCGTTAGTGGGTTATAGCTTTTGCCACTTGCTAGCTTGGTGAATCCAACATCCAAGTCAGGGATTGCAAAAAAAACAAAAACGATTTGACTTCTGGGGCCATGGGAATCGCCCACCCGCAAGCCCCAAGCTCTGCTCCCTGCAGGCTCCTGCCACTGCTCCGCGCGGCGGTGCAGCGCTTTCCGCGACACGGGGAGGCCAAGGGGGCCCTGGCCATGCAGGAAGCCCCGGTGACTTTCGTCGCAGGAGTCGCGGGTCTTTGGTCCAACCCCTTGCAGCAAAAGAACAAATCGGTCTCCTAGGTCAAAATATCCGATCGCCCTCTCAGTCTCATGGAAGTGGAGATGGGGGCTAAGGAACCTCGAAAGTCGGAAGCCCTAGTCTCCGTTCTTGCATGCGTTTGTCACCCCAGGCATCGGTGCTTCGGCGACTGGTCCATGCAGCTCGAATAACCCGCGCTCCGGTCCAATCCATTCAGTGTGTGCTACGTGTTTTGGAGGTACCACTGTGTTCGGTTGAAAGGCATGTCGTGGCCTATTTTTTTCAGACACACCCATTCCTCACCCCTCCCCCGCCAACCATTGTCCAGGTGTACGTTGGATCAGTTTCGTTCGCGTCCCAAGGCAGCTGGGAGCCACCAAGATGGCCTTGGAGCTCTGGCGCCAGGCCGGACGGCGCGGGCGAGGTCAGCAAAAGGTCGCCCGCCCTTTGGGCGCGTTTCTGGGTGGAAGTTTGGCCATGGGCCTAGCTTAAATGGGGTGACCCAAATGGGTTTTCCTGAAGCTATTCCTGTTTCGTTTTCGTATGGTTTCCTTTTTCATGTCCGATGAGAATCAGGGAACGCCCGCAGAAGGAGTTTGGACCATGGTACCTGCGGATGTTCCCCGTCGCCACGCCAAAATGGCAGGTTTGCCTGGCCCTGCCTTGAAGACATACCCGCCGGGGTTTTTAGGATGTTTCAAAACCTTTTGGGATGGGTTCAAGGAGTCCACGGCCAATTGAGCAATGGACAATGTTTCTAGGGTATCGGTTTTGGGCAGTCCTTTATCGGTATTCGGTGGTAATATTGTCGGGTATTCAGTTGGGTCCTGTTTTTTGAGGGCACCTTTTCTGGGTTTCAAAGGGCCATGCAAGCGAAACAACATGTTTGGGACTCGTGGCGCTGCCGCTGGACTGTGGATTTTAACCTTCCAATCAGAGAAATGGTTTTGGAATTCGTGAATCCTCTCAAAGTGAAAGCCCTCTGAATCTGAAGGGGTGTAGCAGTCCGAAGCAGTGCCTTGAGCGGTGTGGGGTTCTGCTGAGTGCCGTAGGAGTCACGGGCCCTATCGACCCAAGCATTTTGAAGTCCACAAATCCTACAAAGGAGGAGTCCTCCTCTATGTATCATATGTTTCGGTGTAAATTGTGCAGAGCTCACCTCAAGGTGAAATGAGCTTATCCATGACGTGGGATTAAACCCAGTGGCACACGTTTTCAACCACCCAACATATAGGGGCCATTTTGATTTGAATCTCACGCACTGGATCTGGGGCTGAGACTGGGTTCCCAGCCAAAGCCGAGGGTGAAACTTCACATGAAGTTCACCCCAGCTGCATCCGCCAGTTCCCTCAAAAGCACCCTACACTCTAAACCCACTAGGCCCGATCCCAGCCGAAATGTCCGCCCCCATACCCCAAATGCGGCATTGTTGCCGTGCAAGGCCCCCATTTGTACAATGACAGCGCTCTATCGTGACCCGCACATCCCAGAGTATTTAGTGTCAATCGCCTGATCTCGGCTGCAATTTTATCGGAAACAACCAAACACTGTGATAAAGCATGTATTAAATGATTAGCAAATTGTGTCCAAACAAGGACAGCAATAAGATAGATGAGACAGCAAGCAAACGAGAAAGCGAACACAACAACACACAACTACAGACATCGACACATATGGCACTCATGGACACGTACGGATGTCGTGCCTTCTTTTTTCTTTCCCCGAGTTGGTACCCCATTTGTTGGTGGTTTCAAAGGGAAGCCAAAAGGAACGGCCGAAGGCCGAAGCCATCTTGGGGTAGAGACAGCTCGAGGGCCCGGAGGAGATGTCCACAAGAAGCTCGAGAGTTCCCACGTCATGTGGTAGTTTGACAGTCATGAGATGTCAAACAGTTCCCATTGACAGTTGTCATGTTTCTTGCCCAAGCTTTTGTTCTCATGTTCCCATTGCCTCGAACACACACACCCGCGTAATGTTGACAGTGGCTCGAGATTTCGTCAACAAGTTCTCGCCATGCTTGCCAGTTGCTACAAATCAAGGGCACAAACGTGCGGGAGACCGCAGAACTATGTGGGTCTTCTCCTCAGATGGACAGTTGGTTCAGGGTTGGCTTACTTCTGGGGTTTTGTCCGCATCAGTGCGTCGGGTCTTCTCGTCTCTTGGTCGCAGAATCCCGGCGTCGGGGGAGTTTTCCTATGCATGGGAATGATCCGCCTAACCATCCAACGCCAACAAATCATTCCATTTATAGATGCTATAATGGACCTATGGAATGATTCCTTAAACGGTTCCTATAAACCCGGTGGTTTCCTCTAAGGCAACCCCGGGTTCATTGCAACGCATTCCACCCACCGCTTTCGCCGCGTTCCAACCACCGGTGAGAGGCCATGGATTTGGCCCCGACCAGCCGCGCCATGGTAAACCGAGCGGCTCGGCGCTTCCGGGTCGGGAACATGGAGCTTGTGTCAAAGGGGGGCAACAAAATGGTGGCAACAAAATGGGGAACACCCCAAATGGTTTGTTTTTTCCTTTGGGTTTCTCTTCAAACCCACCTGAAAAGGGTAGCAACTCAAGAAAAGAAACCCAATGTTTGAGTTTCCCAACTACGATGCATGGACAAAATCCACTTCGCACGAGATATGGATGCAACCCCATGACCGGATAACCCACCAATCCCAACTGCTGCCGATCGGCCTGGAATTTGGGGAAAAAGCCACGGGCCCGCGGAATTGGGACTGCGTTTCAGTTCCCCTGGAGAAAGACCCTCTCGAGCGTAGGGAATGGAGTTTGGGCCCACTCCACAATGGTTACACCACCTGAGCCACAATCAAAACCCGGATGGATGGAGGTTGGTAAGGGATAGTCCCAACCCTGAATGGGTGCAGCCGCCTGTTTAGTTCTTTACATGTTTCTGAGAAGACCATTCCAATACCTGGCTTTGAGTATGACTCACCTATGCTCCCTTGATTGGAGAATTCTGTTTGTGTCCTGCATGGGACTGCTTTTGGTCGTCTAGGTGACCTCGGTGATAACTCGCTTACACATCTAGGTGACCTCGGTGATAACTTGTTTACAAGTCCACCTGACTGGAGCTACCCCTGTTATTAGTGGCCGAACATCCAAGTGCCTTTACTTGCTGATGGTTGAAACTGGTTTGGTGAAACTTTTAATTCCTCCCACATGGCAAATGTGTCCAACACGGCCCATCCTTCACATCCAGTAGATCCTGCCGAAGTGGTGCCGGCTCTTTCAGGTGCCAAAAAGGACCCAAGCCTACTGATGGACAAACTCCACTTCGCAGCAGTTGGGTTGGACGAAGCCCGATTCAATTACTGGGATAAACCAACCAGCTTTTGTCCAGCCGCATTTTGGCTGGGATGGGCCAACTTCCCACTCCCACAGTGTCACAGCACCCTCCACCAGGCAATTCCATGGCAACTCCCGACAGGACCCCGTTGCAAGACAAAAGGTTCCACTTGCAAGATCGGCCAATTAGGGGAGCTTCCTTCTGTTCGTCTGGGAGATGTATCAAGCACGAGATGCATCAAGCACGACCGTACGAGGCCGTGACGCAGCTCCGGTTCTTGGGCCGCCGGCACTTGGCGGAGCAGTTCACCCAGCGGGCCGCGGACCTCCAGCTTTGGCGAGCTCTTGGCGGAAAATCGAAGCTGGGGGTGGGGGCCTGGCGAAAAAAATGCAGAAGTTTTTGGTGTTTTTCCCCCTGTTGGTTTTGACAGGAATCTATCACTACTGGAAATATGTTTTATTTTTTCCAGGGGTCTTAACCAAATGGAAGCTGGTGGTGCGTGGGGGTTTTCGTGGGGGCCTGGTGCCTGTCTCAAAAAGACTGTTTCCCAAGACCAGGGATCCCTACTCTGGGTGCACTAGATCCACTTCGTGAAACAACCAGTTGGTAGATGGTTGGTTCCAACGCAAGAAGGATCAGTGATGCACGCTTAGATTGGCGGAGCTGCTTGGGCCTAACATTGACACATACCAGTTGATGTTTTGTTGCTAGCTCATTCGCTGTGTTGCACGCCAGGTTCGAAGTGTGAGAAGGAAATCCACGAGTGCAAAGGGTGCCTTCCATTTCCATTCTTTCCAGGGATCCTTCTTAGAAAACCTCCGGAAACCCAGGGAACATGGCCGGTTTTGAAAAGAACGATGGTTGAACAGAATGCTTGGAATCAACCCCTAGAACTAAGAGTGCAAGGATGCTCCAAACTTGTTCACACAAACGCAAGCGAAAGGAGCGGGTGTTCTCTCCTGCTCGTTTCTTGCTGCGATCAGGCACTAAGGACGGGTGTCCGAGCCAATTCCCTTTTCGGAACCTCCAACAGTGGATCGATCGTTTCAAAGGATACCCCCTTTGCGCTCTTCAATGGAGGGTAATCCTTGGGAACCCTCAGGGACCCAGGCGCTTTCAGCTACCCACCCCTCTTGTACCTCAGGGAAGGCTCCAAGTTCAACCGCGTCTCAGGAAGTCCCCATCAACGGCCTCACATCTACTGGCCCTCTCTGCCGGTGGCTGCCTTTCCAGGCCAGCGAGCCAGACAAATCGCAGACTCGATCCCAGTAGCTTTGTTTTCCCCGTGCCTGACCAGTCAACACTTGGACAAATCCGCTCAATATTCAAAGGCAAACATCACGCCACAAAAAATTGCCTGAAGGTCGAGTAAGAGTCGCACGGATTCTACGAAGAACTATATGTATATATCGATTACATGCTCATGAGGGGAGTCCATGCCCACTCCTGCATTTTTCGTCGCACGACGCGTTTGGGGCAAACTCAAACACTCGCACCTGTTTGCCCTTTGCTTTGAATATATTCTCCAATGTATTGTACATCATACACCTACCACCGCATGTCTTCAGTTTCAGGCACCAACCATGTCGGGTCCGTTTTCCAGGATCCGCAGTGCCTTTCTGGGCTCAGCGCACCGCTGGGGTAGTTAGATGCCCAGCACGGGTGGGTCGCCTGCGGCCCTGCGTGTGCGATAGAAAGGGCATGCTGTGTGTATATGTATATCCGTATCTCTATAGAGATGTTGATGCGCGTACGCATGGTATAGCTATATCTATGTTCATATTTGAATCTATATCTATGCAATGATCATCTAACACTATATCTATGCAAAGATCGGTTGAGCCCCCAGTGTGAGACACATTTGTCCTACGTACAGTTTGCGTCCTCTCGCCATGCGCTGCTCGATGCTTCGAGAAGGGCGCGGTGATGGAAAAAACAGGGTGTGTTGTTGTTCAATCTGTCCGGAGGAAGGCGAGCAATTGCGACGTTTTTGTTTTTTCACAATATGCCCTCACCTTGCGGATATGTGCGCTCATTTTGCGGGTTTTTGCCGCTCGTTTTGCACTTCGCTTTCTGCGAGCTGCTTTCAGGCGACAACTAGTACGAAGGGAGCTTCAGGTGTGCATTATATATATATATATAGATATATAGATATATGTATATATATATGTATATATGTATATATATATATATGTGTATGTATATATATATATATACATACATTTGTCTCTCTGCGAGGGCCTCCGTTTGTCGGCGGTTTTCGGGGCCCACCTGCGCCGAAGGCGCGGAGGTGGATCCGCGGCTGCCGGCCACGGCGCAGGCCTTCCAGCGGCGCTCGGAGGAGTTCCGGGCGGAGCTGCTGCGGCAGAGGCCCGCGATCCTTCGCCGTCGCGCGCGCGGCGAAGCTCGCGGCTTCGATGCGTCGCCGTGGGCGGTGGGTGTGGGTTTTTGGTTTCCAAAAATGGTTGGTGACCCCAAAAGGGGTGGCGGTTCCTGGTACGTGGAAAAGACTATATATACCCCCGGTCTTCTGGTTAAATCTTGACCCACACCCCACTGGGTGTCATAGGTGTCTTTTGGTTGATTTGGTTGAAAAAGTAGAGGGCGATTGCAGGGCCATCTAGTTTCCCCAAAAGGACACTTATGTGCCCTCGCCGGTCGCCGTTCGGGCCGTCGCAAGCCGCGGCTTCAGCGCGGGGTCCCCTTTTTTTTGCGAGAGTGAAAACGGGGTGTCCGGGAGGGTTGTGGGAGGGTTCTTCTTTTTGTGGTTGAATTGATTGAGACTGAGCTAAGAGCGGCTGTAAGAGAGAATCACAGAGCCATCAATTAGGATTATTGAGAGCTCTGGCTGTAAGTCAGAATTTGAGTGTGGGGTTTGTCTCAGGAAGGGATATACCTAATGGGGAGTTGGTGTGCGGTGCAGGGCAATGAAACTGCGAAGTTGACAGGAAGGTGAGCAAAATTGGGAGTTTTTCCCAGCAAGCTGGTTTTTGGTTTGGAAGTTTGGGGCTCTGTTCAAGTCTGAGCTTGGCCGAAGCCATGCATCCGGCCAAGGCTGGCGGACTGGCGCGTTCCATGGGAATGCATGGCTTGGGTGGCCTCCCCTCGCGTCTGGGGGATGGAAACCCACACCGGATTGGCCGGCCGGTAAAAAAATACCACTCCGCTGGTAAAAAACCCGGCCAGAACCGATTTTGCGGGGTGTTTTTCGGCATTTTAGGCGATGGGGGGATGTCATCCCCTTACAAATATCGTCGATCCGTGGTTCCCATACTATGTTGCCCCCATGCAGAAATATCAAAGCATGCATGGAGATTTGATAGGACTGGTAGATTGTCTGCTGGATTTTGCTGAACACTGTTACAGTTGTTAACTTCATGAACAGCTCCTGGGTTCAAGATCGTTTACGGGGTCCTGTCTCCTACCAAACATGTTTTTGTCAGCTTTAGCTCCTTCATTCCAGGAACTGGGTCCCAGGTTCTGTGTTTTGCACCGTTCAGAAACCTGGACTGATTCGATTCCCCTCTAAATACCAACAAACAATCCCAGTAGTTCCCAGTAGTTCCCAGCTACCATAGGTCACCAGCTACTGTCCTTTTTGAAGAGGGTCATTACTTATCTTCTACATGATTGTTATCGGTTTCTCTGACTGTTTGACGAAGTAAAACAAGTCCATGCTTGTTTAGCAGGCTAGGATTTCGGCTTTTCAATCTTACAAATCATCTGTCTCGATTTTTCTGACTTTTCTTGATTACGTTGTTTATTTGTTGCAAGAAGCACCCCAGGACGTTGGGCTGTTCGCTTGGCTTTTCATTTCGGTCGCCGCGCCTCGGCTCGCCTCGGAGTTCCAGGCCCCAGCTGCTGCACTTCGCCGGCTTCACGCCCTGCGAGGCGGAGGCGGAGTGCCGCGAGGCGCGCTTTGGGCTGTCGGGGGGGGACGGTCCGACCGGGTGTCCGGTGGCTTTGGTTTGCCCTCTGCCACCCAAAAAAGGGGGAAATTCGGAAACACCCCCAGAAAAACGAGGTCGAACAAACGCTGGGTCTTCGGGTTTCCTGGTGGTTTTTCCCCTGTGCCACAGAAAAAAAAGGAGGGAAACAACATCCTCAGAGAAAGAACTTCAAACACACAAAAAAAAGGCTAATTTCGTGGGGGTGGTCGAAATGGCTTTGGGGGAGGTTTCCTTCAAGCAGGGTAAGTGAGCCACCCAGGGGATATCGTGGGCGCGCCAAAAAACGGGTGATCCATGAAGCAGGAGTTCCTTCGGGCCTTCCTCGCCAGAAAATATGTCCCAAACATGTCAGTGTGTCTTTGTTCCCCCAAAATGGGCGGTTTCGAGTAAAACCAAAAGATTTCAGCCTCATTTTGTGGGTACCACCTAATTTTTGTTGTAGGGTACCACCCATATTTTGACACATGCCCCTGTTTCCCCTAACTTGCTTGCACACGTTTGCCGCAAGGAGGACGGCGGGCTCTTTCCGGAGAACAAGCGCTTCCAGGGGTTCTGGGAGGCGTGCCGGCGCGGGCGCAGTGCCGGCGAGAGCTGCCTCCAGCGAAGACCCGGTGGCTGTTTTTTGGGGAAGGGTTTCCCTTTGAACGCTCGTTTTCCCCATGGCCACTGGGCATCTGAGTGAGTGGCGCCCTTTTTTTTAGTTTCGTTTTGGCAAGGGTTCTGATTCCTTTAAACTCAAGCAACAAAAAACGATGCCGATTCTTTTTTCCCATGGAAATCCACTGGGCATTTGAGAGTATCATGCATACTGCTCAATCTCAGTATTGACATTGAGTGCGTTGGCGCATGCTTGTTAATATATAGTATTGGCTCCGAAATCTAAACAGAACACACACACACACACGCATACACACACGTATGCAAATTTCAGCACATAGCACATACGCTAATGAGTTGCACACGTGCAATTGAGCAGGGATTCAAGTCAACAACCATGAAAGCAACTTTTGATTCTATCTTCAGGAATCCACTTGTTGAACTTGTCCACACAAAATAAATTACAAAGGTCCACAATGTGCTCAAACATAACATTGAGACATAGGCTGCCTAAGCATAGTGAACCCACAGACAGTTAGGGGGTCCAAGCGGCACAGATGTTCCAATCCACCAAAAGGGTCGCAGGTGATGCGCCCTCTTTCTTTTTGTATTCTTGATTTTGACTTTTGGAGTTGCATTCTGGGTTGGTGTCCTTTAGCCCAACCAAGGGGTAGGAAAAACCCGTTTCTCTAGCTATCCCCGTTTTATGTGGTTTTTTCCATCACCTTTTGCCCATTGAACAAGAAATTCTGTTAGACCCTGCAAACCCAGTTGGTTTTAGGATGATTGCCTTTCTTAATCATCCAAAAAAAAATCAAACACAGGCAACCATTAATATGGTGGTTTGGATTGGTGGTTTGGGGATTTGCACCCCTGACTCTTATAGAAACCCTCAGAATTCCCTTGAACGTGGGGTATTGCCCCAAAATTATGGTTGGTGACTTTCCGTGTTTCATGGGTAGCTTGAGGCTCCAGGTGGATTGTTTTTTCCTCAAGGCCTCACGTCCAGGCGGGTCAGCTCTACTCCAAGCTGGGAGGCTGCGCAGAGGCGACGCCCAAGACCTGCGGAGTCATCCAGGAGACCTCTACTTGCTGGTGCTCGATAGGGAATGACAACGAGTTCGGGTGGGGTCATGAAACGTTTTTGGGGGATTCCCGAAAAAAAAGGAAACAACAGTAGGATGGTTTTTCTCGGGGGTCGTTCCATTTCAATAAGTCCCTGCTGAGAAGCAGCAAGTCTAACATTCGTCTGAATCAGCTTTGCGCTGAATTGGGCTAAGCAAAAAGCACAGGGCAACAAACAATTCCCACAAGGGGGGTTTTCTAGAAGTTTTTTCCTGAGTACAGAGGCACATAGAATATAGGTGAGGGAGCACCGGGGAGTTCCACCTGGAAGCTGTGGGATGCTAGGTATATCTTGAAAGGATATGCTGTGGATGCACGAACTCCTACACCCGTTCGATGACGCTCTCTGAACAGGGCGTCGGGACGGCTGCAACCCTACAAGGCGGATTTGGTCCAGTACAAGTGAATACCATCAGGTCAGAAGCATAGGTGTGCTTTTCAGGTTTGAGATAGATAGGCTCCACTAGTTTAGCTGCGTCTCATGCCATAGGGACACCCATCATTTTTTTCCAGTTTTTTGGTTACCTACCGTGGATTGACGACATCCAATTCCCACCACTTGGGAAACCATGGTTGAAACTATTGTTGCTTGGCATTTGCCGTAAAATCGAATGGCTGTGGTTCAAAAATAGGTGCCCCAAATGGAACCCTGGTATGTGGAGCCATGGACCAAAACCTGCGGTCTAGATCCTGGTGGTTTAATTTTGACCCATACCCAAGTCATTCCAAGGTCTCTTGGTGTGGGATTTGGATTTCGTCCACAGTGCGGTGTTCCAAGGTTTCTTAGGTGCGAAATAGATTTCGCAACCATCCACAGTATGGGTTTGGTTAGAGATAAATGAGTTCCAGGGGTTCATGCCATCCATTTTCTGTTTAATACATTTTTGGGTCACCAGCCATTCGCCGTGCCTTAGGAGGTGCTGGTGGCTGCCGGCTTGCAGGTGACCTCTGCGAGCATCTCCGCGGTGGCCCAGCTATGGTAAAATGCCTGCTGAAGTCGACCCACAAAAAGGGGGGGGTGCCATGGACACCTAGAGCCGATTTTTTGCAACCAAGAACCCTAAAAAAGCCAATACCCTAAAAGAAGGAGGTTGCAAAATAGACTTCAGGTGTCCACCATACGGGGGGAAGGGCCCCTTTGCTGCATCGGGCAAATGGAGTACCTTTTTGGGTGTCTTGCAAATGGAAGCCAATGAGTTCCTGGATTTTGACACAAACCCATGTTCGATTGACATCACCGGTTCATTTCTGAGAAGTTGATTGTAGACATCCTGTGGAATCAAACGGGTTGGACGAATGCATGTTCTGCTTGTTTGGACAACGCGCTCACCAGCGCAGCGCTGTCGTTTAGCTTGGTGTCCTTCGTCGACCGCAGACCTCTTTTGCCAGGAAGGCGCAATTAGCTTGCACAGCATCTCTTGCCCCCGAGGTCTTTGGCCCGTACACCTTCATCCCAGAACACTCCTCGGCGACACAGGCGGGAGTGCCGGGGCAGTTGGTCTTTTTCCTGGCGATGTCTCCCTACCTGAGATTTGGGTCAGCGCGTGCACCCGACTTTTTTTGCAGGCACATTGCCAGCAAAAATCAAGAGACCCGTTTTCCGAGGCCAGCCGGGAAACAAGAGGAACCAGCAAAGGCGACGCAACCGGAAACAACTGCAGCAGGAGTAGCGCAGGTATTGCAATGAACACAAAGCCCACCAGGACGAGGCCCACCCCTGTTGTATCCCTGTATATCCCTGTTTGTGAGTTGGCCGCCTTTTTACTCCATTTGCAAGGCATGTCTGTTTTTCCCTGTCCTTTCCTCCCCTCGGCATTGGGGCAAGAAAGAATCGTATGGAACAATCAACAAGCAACACAGCTACAGCTGCATGTGAGCAACGCGAACATGTGGAAGTCAATAGCATGCTTCAAGGGATCGCTGCTGAGTATTTTTCCACTTACTTCATACACGTAGTCCATAGCTATGGCTACAAGTCATGGACGATTGTAGGCATCCTTCGGGAGAAGACACTGGACTGAGAACCCCTGCTTCAACAGAGCTTGTGTTGCCTCGGGAATTTACTTTGAGTGCAGAATTTGCTAGCTGCGATATTGGAGCAAATGGCTCTGTTTTTTTTTTTTTTCCAAGGGGATCCACCCAACTGGTGGCCTTCTTTTGGTTTCCTTGAACACTTTCCAAAAATTGGGACCATCCAAAAAGACAGAGCCCAAATAAGATGTGATGATCGTTTTGGAGCCCTACCCTTTGTTCTCCCCTTTGAGGGGAGGTCTCCGGATCGGGGTTCATAAAACGGCAGCGGAATGGCGACCGAAGAAATGGCGAAGAACATGGCCACGGACGTGCGAGACAGACATCACGGCCTTGCATGGTCGGTACGTGACCATGGTTCAAAACCAATGGGATCCCATTTTGGGATAGGTGCACTAGGTGCACTGCCCATTTTAGAACCTATTTTACTGGGGATTGGATCGGATGTTCACTGGGGCTAACCGATTTGGTTTTTGACCCACCAAGTCAGGTTCCATGTGAATTGGTGGGATGGTAACCCTGGAAATTGAACAAGTGACAAGTGTGGAATGACTCGCAGTGCCTCAGAAGTTTGGTATGTGGAATTCTCAGAATTAAGGCCCCTCTTGGTTTCCCCTCAAAACCATCTCAACAGGAGTCTATTTGGACACGGATCTATAGAACCGGCAGAACGACTCTTTGCTAAGCGGTTGCTGAACAGATGCGATGGAAAGGAATCCGCACACTGAGGGATGAATCGTGAGTATGGGTGCGCAAGGGAACATTTTTCAGCGTTCCTGACATTAAATCCAACATTTGCCCGTTTGGGTTCCAAGCCATCTGAGTTGTTAGTTGGTGTAGTCGTTGGGTTTCCATTTCACCCACAAGTTAAGCAGGGGATCAGTTCGGACACCAAATCAGTCCGGACCGCCCACTAGAAGCCAAGTAACTCAACAGCTCAGAAACAGAAAACGGACCGAACCGCAACTCCTTCGCCCAACCGTTTGCCACCCTCCCCGAGTGCGTCCCCGCGCTCCTTTTCCCGCGCCTTTCGCGCCGGTCCCAGGGCCGGCTGCGGCTGCACTGCACGCTGCAGCTGCCGCCGAAGTCGGTGTCGCTGCTGCGCCTAACGGGCCGAAACGAGCGCCGCCACGCGGCAGGCCGGTGTTGGGGCGGTTGGGGCGGCGGTTGGAGTGGATTGTGCTACTTGGGGCTATCGTTCAATACAGCTGGTCTTCACTGTTGTTGGATCATTGTTTAAGTTTTTTTTTGTTTTTCTGGTTCTGTTCATTTTTCGCAGGGAGGCTGCTAAAAACAAGGTTTTTGCTACCATGCCAAGGGTTGCAAAGTGGTATCGCACTTTGGGGGCTTCTCAAAATGGGCTTGGCGCTTTAAGCGAAGCCAACAGAACATAAGCCATTGGTTAGATCCCCAATTTTGAGAGGCATTTGAGGCACGTCCTCAAAGCTTAGATGAAGCTTGGGAAGGGATAATCTCAACCACAAGTGGGTGCCGTCGCCGCCTTTTCAATTCCTTACATAGTTTTGGGTAGACCATACCAGTTTTTGATTGTGACTCATTTGTTGGTGGCAAAGGGACACCAACATGAAACCCAGCCATTTTGTCAGGTCTAAAAACTGACAACACACTTGCCCAAAGCGAGTCGACCTGATCTGACCTTTTTGTTTTCCTTTTTGTGCAACCATGCTTACTCATGGCAACCCAAAATCTGTTTTATGTCTGGGTCCCCTGAGAGACAACTGAGGCTATCCAAGTTGGACCCGTAATCTCAGACAGGTCAATAGCTGGGTCCGACCTTTTGTCCAAGTCACTGTTTGATCCCTGAAGTGAAGTTGGCAACTCGCGTCTCTGTATTAGCCAAAGCTCATGTTTTTTAGTTTGGCCAGTCAGCCCAGTTTGCAAGCGCCGGCGAAAGAAGTGTAGCCCATCCCTGGAAGGGACGCAAAGCCGTGCAAATGTCGGGGCCCTGAAGTGGATGCAGGGCTCTGCCAAACAGAACCTCCATGTGCTGGGAATGTTTTTGTTGTTCCCCTTGTTGGTTTTAAAAGGACTTCTATACTGGACAGATTTTCTCAATTTTCCCTGGGGCCTTAACCAAATGGAAGAGAAGACTTATGTCCATCAGGCCTTTTGCGGTTAATCCGCGTCATTTTTTCGGCGTGGAATGCAAACTTGTCGGATGGTGCCTGAAACGTGGGATTGAACGTGGTACCGGTAGGCAAAGCAATGGGGAGTAGCTGGTTGCCGGAATCGGTTGGTTGGTTGGTTGGTGTAGGTGGCTGGTTGGTCGATTGGTCGCTCACCAAGTGAGGGAACCCGACTTTGGGTTTCTCCTTCCAAGAGGAACCGGGATCTCAAATCCAATGCACGGCGACCCGCCATCGCGCGCCGGATCGATCGAGCGCCGGATCAAGCGCATGGCTTTGGATGGCTCACACGACCTCACCCCAAATGGCAGTTTAGGTGGGGAAATAAGTAACTAAATAGCCCCCCAACCACCTTATTTCACTTCCATTTACTTAAGAATATGTTTTAATTGTAAACGCTTCGCGTTGCCCGCCTCGGCCCAGCCTAGTTTGAGGGAAGGGTCAGGAACACCGAAATCCAGTGTTGGGAAGGTCCGAATCCTGCTGAAAGCTTGTGACCGCACCAGTTCGCCCGTGCTAGTTCGATGTTCGGAAGCCGTCCTGCTCGGACAGTCTCGGGCAGCTTGGCTGGTCCTTGCTTGCTTGGGTTGTTGGTTGAGCTGGGCCTGAAGCTAGTTTACGGCGGGCTGGGCAGCCGCACTGAGGGGGCTGGGCTATGGCTGGGCTGGGCCTGAGGCCAGTTTCAGACACGTCAGACAGGCCTGGCCAGCAGGCGGACTGGGCTGGGCTAGACGCTAGTGGAGCCCAGGCTGGTGAGGCTCAGTCTCGGCGCTAGATAGGCTGAGGCCTGCGAGTCTGAAACAGGGTGGGCTTGGGTGAGGTTTGCTTAGGCGGGTTGCTGGTTGGGCTGGGCCTGAAGCTAGTCTCAGTTGCTGGCTGCTGGGCAGCCGGACGACGCTGTTGGTGCGCCTGGAACTTCGGCTGGGCTTGGGCGGGTCGCTGGATGGGCAAGGCCTGTCTCATACACACTTGGGCCTGAGTCTGGGTGGCGAGTTGCTGGCTGGAGCAGGAGGTCAAGGCCTGGCCAGCCTGGGCTGAGCTGCTTGGGCAGCCGGACTGGGGGGGTTCAGACAGGCTTAGTAGCTGGCGTAGTCGTTGGCCTGAGGCCAGTCTCAGACACGTCAGACAAACCTGACCTGGCACGCTGGGCTGAGCCTGCTGTCTCAGCCACGAGGCTGCGAAGTCATGGGTGGGCTGGCTGCCGGCAGCCGGACTACGCTGCTGGTTGCGCCTGGAACTTGGGCTGGGCGGGCTGGGCTGAGCTGTGCTTGGGCGGGTTGCTGGATGGGCAAGGCCTGTTTCATACACACTTGGGCCTGAGGCTGGGTGGCGAGTTGCTGGCTGTGCTGGGCCTGAGGCCAGTCGCAGACACGTAAGACACGCCAGCAGGCGGGCTGAGGGACTGGGCCTGAGGCTAGTCTCAGGCTGCTGGCACACTTTGAGACCAGTCTCAGACTGCGCCGAAGGGGCTGGGCCTGCTGGATGACTGGGGCCAGACGCAAGCAGGAACGCTGGGCTGCTGCTGGTGGGCGGAGCTGGGGGCCGGCCTAGTGCTGGCATGCCTGGCCTGGGCTGGGCAGGCTGGGCTGCTGGTTGGGCTGGGCCTGAAGCTAGTCTCAGCCACGAGGCTGCGAAGCCATGGGTGGGTTGCTGGCTGCCGGGCAGCCGGACTACGCTGCTGGTTGCGTCTGGAACTTGGGCTGGGCGGCTGCGCTGAGCTGTGCTTGGGCGGGTTGCTGGATGGGCAAGGCCTGTTTCATACACACTTGGGCCTGAGGCTGGGCCTGAGGCCAGTCGCAGACACGTAAGACAGGGCTGAGGGACTGGGCCTGTCTCAGGTTGGCAGACTTTGAGACCAGTCTCAGACTGCGCGGCCTGAGGCCAGTCTCAGACACGTTAGACAAACCTGACCTTGCCACGCTGGGCTGAGCCTGCTGACGGGCTGGGAGCCGGCCTAGTGGCTGCGCCGGGGCTGGGCTGGGGCTGGGCTGGGCTTGCTGGTTGGGCTAGGCCTGTTTCAGACAAGCTTGGGCCTGAGGGCTGGGCTGACAGGCCTGGCCAGCAGGCGGGTTGCTGGTTGGGCTGGGCCTGAGCCTAGTCTCAGACACGTCAGACAGGCCTGGCCAGCAGGAGGTCATGCTTTTCAGGACAAAAAAGCGTTTTTTAGTGATTTTCGCAATTGTCAGCACATTTTCGACAAAAATGGACCCATGGAGCTGGACGCCGACGAACCCCGAAAATTTCCAGGCCCGCCGGACAGGATTTTTGGGCCAGCCGACATGGGGGCGGGCCGGCAAAATTTTGTTTTTTTTTGGAAAGAGATCTGAGCGGCCTTGGCCCCCGGGGCCGAGGCGAATTTTCCCCCTGTTGGTTTCAAAGGGAATCTGTCACTGCCGGACATAGTTTTATTTATTTATTTTCCCAGGAAACTTAAACAAACGGAAGGTGAGGCGGGTGAAAAAAGATGCTTCAACACCCAGACGGCTTCGAGGCGAGTGCTTCTGGTTCGACGAGAGCTCGGACCACGAGGCCTCCTATTCCTCGGATGCGACGCAGCCGCGGGTGCTGCTCATGGTGGACGTGGTGCACCCGCGCCTGCAGGAGCGAGACGAGTGGTGGGGTCTCTTCTTGCCTTGACTGACTTCCTGAGTTCATGAACTTTAAACTTTTTGGGAAGACCATTTTAGTGGTAAATATAAAGTTTGGACTTTTTTTTGGCCATCCACTCAGCCAGTGAGTTGATGGTACAGGAGGGTACAGCAAACGCCCAGGCGGCCCAGGCGGCAACCTGAGGCAGGAATGTTGGAACTGAAGTTGCTCATGGAGTCGTCACATGGCACAGGACAGCAAACGGTTCAGGGGGCAACATGAGGTAAGAGTGCCCCCGAAATGATGACATATTGGTGAGATCACAAACACATGCAGCGTTGGAAGAACGAGGTCGACGAGTCCAAAACGGGTGCTGGGTTAGGCACGCCCATAGGCCCATGACTATGGTTTTTGTGGTTGGAACATCTCGCAGGTGGTGGACATAAATCCCCATGCAGGGGATGTTAATCAAAGGGTCAACTGAAATCACAGGCGCGTGGTTCTTACAAGTGAGCTCATTCTCAGGGGATTTCCAAGCGACTACTTCGGCTGGATTTCCTTTCGCTCAAAGGCCAATTTCAGAGTGAAGCAACGCAGCGGTCGCCTGCCGAGTCAATCAGCCAGCCCATGGGATGACACTTGTTGCTTTTCGAAGGTCTCAGGATCAAATCAAGAAGCAAAGACCAATGTGCCATGCTTGAAATGCCTGGTTTCAGGGGGTTTCATAATTAGGTCATCCACCCGGGATTGGCAGTTTTTGGTGCGTTTCTATGGGGAAAATGACCTACCGTTGGCGCTGTGGCCGAGCGAGCCCATGCTCTTCCATTTGGTTAAGGCCCCAGGAAAGAAAATATCTGCAGCAGAGTGATGAATTCCTTTTAACACCAACAAGGGAGAAACTGTCTTAAGCAAATGGAGGTGCTTGATTCTGGACCATGCACCCGAGAACTTGCGAATACAAAAGACATCCCAGAGCCAAAAGCAGCCTTGGATCCTGACTCGCACTGCTTCAGCCACCAGCATGGCGCCTTGAAGGTCCTTTTTTCCACATTCTTTCTCTTTGGATCCGGAAGTGGAAAGGTAGTTCCCGGGCACCTACACAAGCTGCGCTTGTAGCTTGATGAGCTTTACCTTAGAAAGCAACCCAGTTGCCCAGTGGCGCCCTTTTTTTCTGTTCTTGTTGGGAGGGGTTCCGATTCCTTTAAACTCAAGCAACTAGAAAAGATGCCGATTATTTTTTCAAAATGGAAATCCATCATTCCCTTTTTTTGGGAAGGGTTCCCCTTTAAACTCAACCAACCAAAAAAGGATGCCCCTTTTTCCCAGGGAAATCCACTGGGCATCTGAGACAACACCCATTTTGTTTGAGACACGCCGACGGCACTAGGACTTGGAGGAGGAACCTCTCCTGAGCCCGGCGCCCTTCAAAGCTCGGTACTGGCCCCTTGGCTGCGCGCGTTTCGCCAGCTCGGGATGCACCCTTGGCTTAGGTTTCTTTTTTGCTAAATGAGCCACTTGCTCAAAACCCGGGGATTGATGAAGTTAGTAAGGGGCAGTCCCATCCAGAAATAGTTGCGGAATTCCGCCTTCTTAAGTCTTTACATGGTTCTGGGTAGACCATTTTACTACCGGGTTTTGATTGTGAAACGGGTATGGTAATCATAGTAGGAATGCTGTGGATGGACGAAATCCATTTCGCACCACTCTGAATCCCCGGAATGATTCGATTTCCCTGCAAATAGCAACAACAAATGGTTTCAACCATGGTTTCCAAGTGGTGCAGGATTTCGTCCATCCACAGTAGGAACAATGAGCACATCAATGAGAACAACAATTAAAACCACAACCATCAAAAAGCAAACATTAAAGAATGATCCAAAATATTGCAAACAACCAATCCCACTGAAAATGTAATGTAAATGATAGTCAAAATAAAACCACCAGTCAAAATGAAACCACCAGACAAACCCCGTTTGCCAGGTTTCATCTTGGGGTCACCCTATTTTTGACCACCCACATCAGTTGACTAGGTACATGTTGCGTGCATTTTTCCACGGATCCAGGGCTGGAGCTTGCAAAATCATGGCTTATAGTTACCCCGGAGAAGTCACAAAGTGGCACATACCTTTCATGGGTACTGGCGGCTTCCAGCTCACCACTTGATTGAAAGCCCTGGATTGGACTTGTCTGCGAGCCTGAAATGAACGAAATGACGACTCGGAGGCTGATAGAACCCAGCCCAAGCTGACAACGCCGGCTCCGGAGCCGGCGCTTTTTTAGGACTTGGCCTTGGTTCAAAAGGCTGTGGCTTAAAAACATGTACCAAAATGGCACCTTGGTAAATGGAACCGATGGAACCAAAGCCTAAAACCTGCGTAACCCTAGCTCTTTAATTTTGAGCCACAGCCAAAACCGTTTTGGTTGATCCCATTTTGGCCTTGGAGGTGAAGTCACCACCCATTGGCTTCCTATGGTTGGCATTGCATCGGATGTTCACCGGGAGGGGATTTCACCGATGGCCATGGCTTGCTTCCCTGGGCCCGCCCATGTGGTTCCATGGGCGTGGCTCATGAAGCGATCGGAGGGGCAAACCGCGGGGCTTGGTCCATGTTTCCACTGACCGAGCGGGCAACCCATTTGGGAGTTTTCCGGTTTTTCGGTTGCCACGGCCATTTCTCACTTTTCTGAACCGCGGGCATGGGAGTCCTTTCGTTCTGAGGATTGTCACTTGAGCAAACCCAAGCACCAGCGACCGTTGAAGCAAGTAAATAGATGTGATACTGTGGATGGTTGCGAAATCCATTTCGCACCACCGTTCAGCAACCCTGGTTTCGGATGATTCCCCCCTGTAAATATTATGGGGGCCATCTGTGGGAGAGGTGGTCGGCCCGCTGCCACTGGCGGTTCGATCCCGCGCGCTCGCTCGCGAGATCGATGCTCCCAGGAAGTCGTACCTCCCGAGCTCCAAGCAGCTCCGCGGCTGCGAGGGAGGGTCCCCGGGTCCCGCTGAGAGGGACGTTTTGTTTCGGGGCGTTCCTCTCTCCCCCAAAAAGACACGGAACCTGAGCCCTGAGAGACCTTCCTCTTGAAAACGACGCACTTATTGGTGGGGTCCAGAAGCTTCCAAAAGGGGTTCTGCTCTTCGGTGCTTGTCCAAATGGAGACCCCCTTAGCCGCGGAAAAGAATCGAAGCAAGAGAACTGGAGCCACTGAAGTCATTGCGTTGGATCTGTCAATTGAAAGCTGAAAGGCACAGTCGAAACAGAGACTGACCATATTAAGTTGACAAACGAAATTGTTTTGGAGAGCCCCCTGCTGCAGTAGCACGACTGCACGGCGGGCTCTTTGTTGGGATAGAATTGGTTTAGTGTTGTCTAATTCTAGAGGACAAACAGTCACTACTGGGCTGCATCACTTGATATGGGGAAGTTATTTTATGGGGTCCTGGCCATCATCAATGATCATTAATGTTATGAATCATGAACTCGGCTCGGCAAGGATCCGTGATCTCAGCACCGGCAGATGCCACAGCAACATGTTTGGGTTTCGTACGTAGGCATGTCATTTTCCAGGGCAACCCTTTTTGAGGGTGCTTTGTTGTCAATATAGAATCATCATGTCGGCACATTCTTTCTTGCTTAGAGCCCGGCGAGGTTCACAAGGTGCGCGCCTTCAATCGTCATACGCCGGGAAATCCCCGGAGATACTTCTTTGTGCCTGGTTTTTTCCCCCCCTTCGTGCGTGCAAAGGAATCGACGCAGAGAAGTTCCTGAAAATTCTTTGTGGGCGTTCTTTTTTTGGCACAATACGCGCCATGAGTCTTCAGAGATGACACCTGAAAAGTTGAATGGGTGGACATGAATGGGTGTGTCTTTGTTCCAGGCGACCGGCTCCTGGTTTCATGGTTTCAAAGGGCAGGACCCGAAAAAAAAACATCCCCCCACGGAAATCTGATGTCCACCAAATGGTCCGGGACCCGTTCAAATTCACACCCAAATGGATGTGTCTTGTTCAACCCCTCAAAATGGCTACGAGGTCTTCCTGGGCTTCCCTTTAAAACGTGAAAAAAACCACAGAAAATTTCGGAGGGGGTAGCCTCAAAACAGAGACCCACATGTCCCCAGTGAAGTCGGATCGCAGGCTCTATGTGTCCAGCGTTTTGGAGCAAGACTGGCTGTTGCACGCCATGAACTGGACGGAGGCGATGCGATGTCTCAAGCTGGGGGTGTTGGGTGGTGAGGTGGAGAAGTGAGTGGGCGGCTGGGTGACGTTGGTTGGGTTTCGGTTTGAGGGGCGGTTTTTTTTTTTGGGGGGGGGGTTGTGGTTGGATTTGGTGTTGGGTCTGGGTTCGGAGGGATGGAGAGACAGGCAGTTGCACCATTTCGGGTGAGTGAGTCGATATTGGAGGTACTTGGAGGCCGGCTGCCATGCCATGCCATTTCTTCTGGTTTTCTGATTGGAAGGTGTGTTTCGCGTAGCTTCACCATGGAGCGTTCCGCGTGTTTGGGTAGTTGGAGCTTGTACAACATGGAGCCAACATGTTGTAACATAGGTATTTATATGGGTACTTGTTGTTGATCTCAACTTTTGTGTCCTGTGTATTCGCAAGGCAAATGTTTGCAAATGAGCGAGGACCTGCTACGTTTCATGCGGCGCTTTTCCTCTATTCTGGCCTGCGATTCTGTTCACACGCTCCTTTGAATGGAATGCATGGTGAAGACGACCGAGAGCTGCTAGTCAAGTTGGGGTCTTGTTCGCTTTCATTGGCCGTTGGTCATACTTGTCTTTGCGGACGGCAGCAAACACTCTTCAGCCAGGCGGCTTGAAACAGCACACGCAGACTGACGGTTGATTGCCTAGACATTGCTGGTATTTCCACAAACCAGGGTCAACAAATACATCTAATGTGGCCACGGGTCAAAATCCCGTACCCCCAGTGAACATCCCAATCCCCACGAAAATAGGTTCTAAAATGGGTGGTGCACCTACCACCCAAAATGGGATCCCATTGGTTTTGACAACCACAGCCATGTAGCTTGTGCATGCGGGGCCCTTGCCGGGGGGACAAAAGCACCGCACAGGCTCCCTGGCGCATGTGCGCACGCCTGCGCGCCAAGACCATGGCGAGATGGCTGGCGACTGGGCTAAACGCGGATGCCATGGCCATTCGCGACGTCACGAGGGTTGACGACTTCGCAATGCCCAGCCCAAAGCGAATTGGCCTGACATGACCTTTTGGTTGTCCCATGTTGTCCATCTTCAGTTAAGGTGTCGAAAGGTTAACCTTTTATTACACATAGGTGTCCTTTTGGTTGTGGTGGTAAATGAATGGCCCTGGTTGACCTGGTTGTTTCATCTACCATGTCAACCCATCAATTTGCCCAAAAGCACACTTACGACTTCACACCTATGTTGGTGAGTTGGTTATGATGCCACTCGCATGTGCGACATGGTTTTGCCCAGAGTTGGTTTGGCCCCCTTCGGGTTCCTTGAAGCCAACCCTTTTGAAACCTGTCTCATATACTCCACATGGTTCAGGGAGTGGGGTCTTCCCTGCCCGATCCACATTACGACTGTGGATGGACAAAGTCCAGTACCACCTATGGACGAAACCCTACACGTATTGGGACAAACCACCAATCGGAACTTGTGCGAAGCGGAACTACAAAGATTTAGAGCCTCCGAGAGCACTGATGAAAGCACTGAAACGGCATGAAGTTCTACATCTGATTCCTGATTTCTGGTGTTGTCCAGGAATCAAACGGCCTCGACAGCTCGATTTGGCTGTGGATTCCGAATCGGTCTTTGGGGCAACGTGCCTAGTTTTTCATTTTTTTTCTTTTTGAAAATCAGTGGGTTTCCCTGATGGTAGATGATACATACCGGAAACCAGGGGAACCCGTCCATTTTCTTCACCAAATCAGCCGGAAAGGACGCCTTTGGGGCCAGTTTCCCTTTTTGGAACCTCCAAAAGTTATCGTTCAATGGACACCACCAGTCAAAATTCGCCACTTTCGATTTGGGGAAATCACTCCGGGCAACAAAATAGATGGGTTCCCATGGATTTAGTTTAGCTCGGTTCTCCCTGCATACCCCGGTTGGGGCGAGTTTCGGAGCTTGAAGCTCTGTGTTTTTTTTTTTCAGGAGGAGCTGCAGGCGAGTGACTTCAGTCCGGAGATCTTCTCCGTCTTCTGGCGCAGAGAGAAGTCCTTGTGCCTCGATCGCTGAGAAACCCCACCAAGGAAGCGGGCGGCTCGATCGGTGCACCGAAGACCAGCCGAAGTTTTCTGCCCAATTTGGCCTCCATAAATGAAAAGCCAAAGGGCTTATTTTGGAGCTTCCATGGAATCGCCTGGGGGAGGGTGACCTGATGTCCGGTTTTGCGTCGTTTTGTTTTGGTTGAACATCGATGAGTTCCCCTGGTTTTAGCTTGGTTCTAATCATGTACCACCGTATTTGCTTTTCCAATAAGGACAGCTATGGTACCCGGATATGTTGGGGGAATTCAGAGGGGTGCGTTTTCGAACTCAAACATGGGGCTTGAACCGGTCTCGGTTTGGCCGAATTCCAGGTAGGGGCCAACTGAATTTGACGCTGCCAATCAGTTGGGATGTTGATGGGGGTGCCTTTGTTTAGGGGTAGCCTGGTTGGGGTTGGTTTGAGACACCAAGAAGAGGCCAATAATTTTAGGGGGATGATGGTTTTGCCATCACAGTCAACCCCCCCCCTCCCCCGCTGGTTGAGAGTTGGTCCGGGTGCTCGATTTGAAGACCACGCCTTCATCCCGGTTCGAAGATGGCAGCTGGTCCCCTCACCAAGGTTTGGGGTAGAGCTAGTCTAGGTCCCCCCAGTAGGTTAGACTAAGGGTACCTTTGTTTCGGGAGGGTTCCCCTACTAAAATAGGCTACACAAAAAAAAGGTGCTGGAGGACCTAGTAGTGTTGAGGGAGCAACTTCAACCACGCAGTGGGTGAAGGTTTAAACCAACAGCATTTGCTCGTCGGATTCTTTAACGTCTAAAAAGTATGCTGAGCTGTCAGTGAATGCCCTGATTGGGCGTGCCACATCTCAAAAATGGCAGGCAATGAAGGTGCGCTGTTTTAGGCAACCCCTGTCTTTATGAGACGGGCCATACAAGAGCTATTTCTTTACTATTCCATCTCCTGGAAAACAGATCCCCCAGAAATTGTTTCCAGAAGTTGTTTCCAGAAAAGAGATCTTTACAAAAGGCCCAAGACCATTTTCCCTTTTGTGGGGAAGACTAGAATATTTTTGTACAAGTTTTGGGAAAGAACCGCCTTTTGCCTTGGACCAGTGCTAGGCAGTGGATTGAACCCCTGGCCGCCACCCTTCGGCACCCGGCCACGCACTGCCGACACCTCAGATGGAAGCTCCTGCCGGAGTTGCATTCTGGGGGGCCGAATCCTAAACAAAAAGGAACCAAGCCACCCATGTTGCTGGTTCGATAGGCAGGGAATGAGGAAATGGCCCACATAAACCATCCCTATGGTTTCCTTTCAGGGAATTCGCTCCCGAACCCCGGATCATCTACTGAGCACCAGCAAGTTTTAGAGGACCCCCCAAACTGGTTGGTTTCCCTTCAAAAACACCCCCAAAAAGTCAACACCCATTTCCGCTGTCGTTGGTGTGTGTGCGTGTGTGTGAATTACCGGGAAACAGGAGTTTGCATCTGACGCAGCTCACCAGACATTTGGAATCTTAGAGAGGAGTCGGTGTCCACAGTGTGCGGGTTATGGTTTTTATTTGCATGCAGGGATGAGCAAATAGGGCCACCGCACCACAAACCAATGAGCAAGTGAGCAAGTTGGAGGTGCACGCGTGCCCCCAGTGGGGCTTTCATGGAGTCCGTGGCACGTGAGCCTTTGCGATTTTTTAGCACCTGCACGTACAAATGGTAGAAATCTGTTGGAGATCTATGCGAGCATCTTGAATATGTGTGTTTGCAAGCCCCGAAGGCTGGGTACATTTTAGTTGCGAGGACATGGCTGTGGGTCAAAACCAATGGTACCATTCTTGGGTGGGTGCACCACCCATTTTAGAACCTATTTTAGTGGGGATTGAATCGGATGTTCACTGGGGGTACGATTTGGATTTGATTTTGACCCACAGCCGCATGGGCGTGCCAGTTGGATCATGTTGACTAGGTCCAGTAGTGCCCTCTTTCACCAACTTTTAGGGGGAGGGTTCCCCTAACCCTTATTCTTTTTTGGGGGAGGGTTCCCCTACTAAATTAGACCATGGAAAAAAAGGGTACCCTTATTCTAACCTCTCTACTGGAGGACCTAGTTGAAGAAGCTGCTGCGCCACTGCTCCACGCACCGAGGCCAGGGCCACTGGCAGAGATCTGCTTCGCAGCGGGGTTACGAGTTCGACTGGAAGGAGCTGAGACGCTCGGCCCCGCTCGGCTCGGGGCGAAGTTGGGGGTTCTCCAACGTATCGGATCGGCCCTGGGGGTTGATCAAAGGGCCCCAAATGGGCTGTCAACCACTAAGATGATGATATGTCCCACATGGGCGTGGCTCAATATTTTTGAGCACTAGCGCAAACCGCAGGTTTCGGTCTTCGGTTCCATTTGCCAAGGTGCCATTCACACGCTTTTGAGCCTTTCCCGTATCGCAGTCGGCCATGGTTCATTGGTATCCTCCAGTTGCAACCAGTGGATTCCGCCCGTGTTTTTTTTGCTTGTTTTGGGAAGGGCTCCGATTCCTTCAAACTCAACCAACCCGAAAAGGATGCCGATTATTTTGTTTTTCCCATGGCCACTGGGCAACTGAGAATCCTTGCTGTGGCTGGGTTCTGCTTCTCAGTTGCTGCTCAAGCACTGTCAAAACTGCCGACCTGGCAAAGGTGCAAAAGCTGCAGTGTTTGCCAACTTACAATTGCACTTGCCAAAGTTTCAGCTCTGCAGCGCAAAGGTTTTGGGTGGGCCGGTTTTGGTTTTGGGGTGGGCTGTGTTGATTCTTGTTGTCTTAGGGTTGTTCACGGGTTCCTGAATGCCCAGGATTGGCCGGATCGAGGCGCAAGGTACGAACCTAGCGGTGCAGCCCGCAACCGGTTGACTAACAACCTCTTGTTGTCATTTTTCAATGAGCACGGGCCCCAAGTGCATCAATTGAAGGGTATCTATTGTAAGGTGTTTGTTGAGTAGCTATGGCAACCCAGGCATGCTGAATCGACGAATGCACCCGCACAACTTTCGATTTGGTGAGAGCTCTGAGGAACCTTCGAGAGCAAAGACTACCTGCTGCTGTCGAAGAGCGCTTGGGCGGACAAGGGTCAGCGCATTCTCTTCGATGCTGGAGCGCTGTGATTGCAAGCCCTGGGGGCCTCGGGGATGGCGGGGGGACTGGACGGAACGGATGAGTCACAATCAAACCCAGGGTAAGTGAAGGGTAAGGGACAATCCCCATAAATAGCTGCGGATATCCGCCTTCATAATTCTTGAAGCATGGTTCTGGGTCGACCCTTTTTTTACCGGGTTTTTATTGTGACTCGGATGGCATTGGTTGCTCAGTTTTAGAGGTGGCAGGTGGCAGCAACAGGTCGTGCAGAAAGTATTTGCGCCAAAGGCCCTCCAAATCTGTGGTGTGTGTGTGTGTGTGGAATGCGCGCATTCGGGCGCCATGCCGAGATCTCGCCCTGAAAAGCACGACCCATTTTTGTGTGAGGCACAGTCGAAATGGATTGCAATTTGGGCGAGAACTGGAATGCACCCAAGCAGCGTGCAGCGCTGTTTGGGGACAATTGGCCCACCCCACACGCCCCCCCCAAAGAAATACGCCTGTAAGCATAGGTGTCCTTTTTAGGCTAGTTTCGTTAACAATAGATGGCACTGGTTTAGATGGGGTTTATTCCATTTACCAGGGCCATCTATTTTTCGAAAAGGCCTCCTATGCCTGTAAGGGGCCCCAAACGCTGTGAAGGCGTGAAGCGGAAGCGATCACTATGAATCCAGAGTGCTTTCAGCGCAGGCAAAACACACAGCCAAAAAGAGGCATGCCACAAAGGACATGCCCGGAACTGTGTGTGCATATTGGAAGCCCGTGCCCACTATGGAGGGTCTCAAGATCTCTCGCGAGAAGCTACACAAACGGGCCGGCGGAACTTCTCTCAAAGCCCAAACGTCTTGCGCAAGCTCTCCTGAGAGGATATCTGTAGGAAGTGCTTGCTCCACGCAAGATTCACACCCACACCTTTCCCTCGAAACACACCGGCACGCGACCCACTTGGTGTGAGCCTGCGCAGTTGACAATGCCCCAGAGTCACACAGAAAGGTCCCGACCACGAGACGAAGCCTTGATCTAAGCCTGCCTCACTACTACTGTAAGTACCATAGGTGTCCTTTTTAGGTTAGTTTTGTTAACAATAGATGGCACTGGTTTACATAGGGTTTATTCCATGTGCCGGGGCCCATCTATTTTCGAAAAGGCCACCTATGGTAAGAACCCTTGAGTGTGCAACACTGTTTTGGGAAACAGTGGCTGACCCACAACTGGGATGCACGCTGCCTGCGATGATTTGTCGCTGCACCTGTACTGCTCGTCCATATCACCCGGTCTCAGCTAAGAAGTTTGACCGTGGAATCTGGCGGGATCCTGTGCGTGCGTGTGTGTGTGTGTGTGCGCGTGTGTGCAGGTGTGTGCAGGTGTATGTATGTGTGTGTGTGTGTGGGTGCGTGCGTGCGTGCGTGCGTGCGTGCGTGCGTGCGTGCGTGCGTGCGCAGTGTGTGTGTGTGTGTGTGTGCGCGCGTGCGTGCGTGCGTGCGTGCGTGCGTGCGTGCGTGCGTGCGTGCGTGCTGTGCGTTCGTGTGTGCGTGTGCGTGTGGGTGTGTGTGTGTGTGTGTGGGTGCGTGCGTGCGTGCGTGCGTGCGTGCGTGCGTGCGTGAGTGCGTGCGTGCGTGCGTGCGGGTGTGCACCGCGCGTGTGCGCGTGTGTGCGCGTGTGCGCGTGCGCGTGTGTGCGCGTGTGCTCGTGTGCGCGTGTGCTCGTGTGCGTGTGGGTGTGCGTGCGCGCGTGCGTGTGCGTGTGCGTGTGCGTGTGCGTGTGCGTGTGCGTGCTCGCGCGTATGTGTGTGTGTGTGGGCGGGTGTGCGTGTGCATGTGTGTGTTTGTGTGTGTGTGTGTGCGCGCACATTTATTGCCATGTTTTTAGGTGTACACATTACGCATACGTATGCACGAAATACATGTGTTTAAGTAGATAGGCACATGCGCCCTTGAATAGCCTGTTGCTGGGGCAATGGCCCTTTCGTTGATAGAAAAATGCTGGAACAGATGATTGCGCGATGATTCACGTTGGTTCCGTTCCTGCCGACGCACCATTTGGCAGGTCTACTTGAGCAAATTCTCTTTCGCTGGGCTCAATTCAATCAATGTATTGGCCATGGGTCACTTTACCAACAGGCTTTGGAGCATGCCTGGAGATTGCATTTCCATTTGCCTCCCTGTTTTGAAATTGAGGTGAACGCCTACAACAGCTCCTTGGGCTGGTTCCTGGATGCCTACGCCAGGCGTGCAACAAAATGTTGCAGCGAGCCGCGGTCGTTGTAGAAGGAAACCACAAGGAACACCGCAACTTTTGAAGAGTGCCCCTGTTTTCACTCATACCCATGTTGTCTTGTTCTTGGGAGGCTGGCGATGTCTGTGAAGACGGATTGCTGCAAGCCGTTTGATGGGGACCATATTGTAACCAGCAAGCACCTCGCAACTTGACTTTGAGGCCGTCTAATTAAGATAAAACCAGGCATCGCCCATGGATCTGTCACCAGTCAAGAGACATGCTTGATTTGCTCAAAAGTCTGGCACGTAGAGCATTCACCGAATGTGGTGAATCACGGCCGCACGGATGGTTGCGCTTTTTTGGGTGCCATCAGTTGCCAGGAACGGCATCTTATTCGACCGCCTCTTTGGCTGGGCCTCTTGCCTGGAGCCAGAGACCTTTTGCCAAGTGCTTCGCAGGCCCTTTTGGCTGTTGCAGACTCCTTTAAAAGAGGTGATCACGATGTTACCCTCCCACAGGTGCCATGTTTTGGCTGGGAGGAAGGGTGAACTACTTCTGGCAAAATTATTTTGCCCAGTATAGTCTGAGCGATGTGTCAATCAGGCTGTTCTTGAAGCAGGTCATCGTTTGAGCTCATCACCCTGGGCCCGGGGCTCACTCAGCTTTGTTTCTTGGGAGAAGTGCAAACTGGATTCCACCCGAAAGGACTTGTGTGGCACAGATGGGTGTCCATCTCCTTATCCTGGCTGTGCTCCTGTCTCAAGAATGAACAGGCAGCCGACCGGTCAGACAAGTCAGTTGGTCACAACTCACACCGTGGGGAAAGCTGTCGTCTTCAAACGGTCCTTTCTTTCAGGGTGTATGTTGAAGTTCTTTGTTTGTTTGTTTCCTGTACTCATAGTACTAGGTTACTAGTATGTGATGGTGCAGGAAGGGCAGCCTTATCTTTAGATTTCTCATGTTGGACAGATTAGAAATGGGTGTGCTGTACTGATGCCAATATTTGATTTTGGAATTTGAAACCCATTTGGACATATGGAGCGGACCTCACAACTATATAATTTCATCTTACAGCTTCGTTTAGCACGCTTTTTATCAGGAGAGTCAATCATTGCAATCCACTCGAACATCTGTCTTTCACGGATTTTGTCAGATTCCACGGTTCCCCAAAGTATGTTCCATTTAAGGCGATGGTCAACATCACCCTTTTGACCGCCAAGTTGTAGTTTGCCGCCTGTCGAGTCGTGTTTTCCCCAGGGAACAACAAGGAATCAGAAGACACGCCATGTTTTCGCGCCCTTTTTTTTTCTGGTGGGACGTTGTTTATTACTTTGTTTGTTTTCCCGTTATACATATATATATATATATGTATTATTATATTTATTTACTTATTTACTTTCATTATTATATTATTGATAATATTATTACACTAATTATATGTTGGGCGGGGGGGGCAACCAAAGCTCGAGCCTTGGGTCGGAGGAAGTGTCTCCTCCCGCCCACTTCCTGGAGCAGATCCCCGCGGAGGTGGCCCAGCGCTTGCGCTTCTCCACGGAGCCAGCGCTTCGCTCCGCACCGATCGGCGCGCGATCGATCGATCGGCACCGGGGATCCAGGGGTGGAGGTACATACCCCTTGGCTTCTGTGGTTTCCAACCCACTTTATAAGGGGTATATGCCGTTTTCGGGGAGAGGGGTATGAACATCAGCAGGCCTTTTGGGTTCATTTGTCCAAGGGGTATGTAAAAGGGTATGTACGAGCACCCCTGGATGGGAGCGAGCGACTCGGGGGCTGGCGACTTGGCAACTTGGCGTTGTCCATCAGATCCCGGAGAATGCTCAAGTTCAAAATGGGCCCTTCTACCCCAAACTGCAAATGGGTGTGTCGTTTCTTGTTGCAGTTGAGCCTGTTAAATCCCAAAAGTTGCCTTGGAAGACACCCGAAAACACAAGAGATGATGCTACGCCTCACAGGTTCAGGTCCTTAGCCTTTGCAGCACGCTCGCATGTGGTAAAATTACAATTCATTTGTTTTTTTGTTAGCCCCCCCCCCCCAAAAAAAAAAAGAAAGACACATTGTCTTCCTTTGGGTTTCCTTTTCGGAACCAACCTTGGGTGACCTCAAACAACGACGCACCCATTTGCAGTTTGGGATTGACGACAAGGGCCCAGCTCGAACTTCAGCATGAGGATCCCAACCGATTTTCTGCCAGTCCCTGGTCCGGCCGAGGTGGTGTCGACGGAGGCGCATGAAAACAATCCAGTGGCTCTCATCTCCAAGCTTTGTCGCCCCCAGGACTTTTGTGCGGCTCGGCTCGCGTTTCAGAGAGGGGCGTTCTGGGGCTGACGGCTGACGTGCTGCGGCGTTTACATGGAGTTACTCCCTTGAAGACAGCCATGGCGCCTCAAATGAGGTTTTTTGAGGCTTCCTTCTCAGGTTGTGCAGAGTGAGCGGATCTTAAGTGGAGACGAAGTCAATCGTTAGCGTCGCCCGAGTTAATTTAATGTCAGCCGGCAGATCTGAGGTGAGTTGCAGTGACATGCAACTAGTGGTTCCTTGACTAAGCACTTGCGAAGATGGTAACAATACGGTATGTTTGTTGCACGCTAGAGTATGGGAGTGAGCATGCGGCTCCACATAGACGCCAGCATTTGCACAAACCGCAACACGCATGATGTAGACAGACAACCACCGCATGCCCACTGCTTAGAAGATTTGATTTGGACACGTCCAAGTCCGGACCGGCGGAGCGCACAAGAGGAGAAATGATCGTAGGCGATGTATGTAATGGAAGGGGTCACATGGGGTCACTACTGTCCAGACATGCTCTCTGTGTGTGTGTGTGTGTCACAGTATAATATTTACCATCTAGTCATGGCACCCAATCGTGGCTCTGACTGGAGCGACAGGGTATGAATACGATGACAAGCTGCCAGATTCCCAGCTTGCTATGATTCGGCATGCAGTGCCCAGAGACGTTTGTATTCTAAAATTCCCCCCCGCAGTGAGATTCATGGCACTCAGTGAGGGCTGCATTGTTTCCAATCGGGCTCACTCGGGATTGCGAGGGATCTTGCCTGGGGTCTACCCCACTGCGCGTACCATCAGCCCTTGATGCGCCAGTACGTCAAAGGAATAAAGCATCGCGGCAAAAGCCTGCTTGTGAGCACGCCAGGAGCGCTTTGACCGGCCCAACCCAAAATCTCCGATTTGGTGGCAAGAACCCCTAAGAACATGTTGGGTTTGTTTTGGTATGTCTTGAGCTTCCATGGGCCAGGCGGTTCCCTGTTTTGGGACACTCAGAAGACTAAGGGAATGTTTCAGCCGGAAAGGGGTGGCTACGGGTAAGCGACGTATGACCTTCCATCGCATTGGAAGAGAAACCGGAGCTGATTTGCACAGGCCTCGATTTGAAGTTGGAGGCATTCGTTGCATAGAGCTGTTGACCGCACCCATATGTTACCTGTTTCGCTGAAATGGCCCAAACTTGCCCAGTGCCTCGACAGTATGGGCGAATGCCTTTTGGAGACAGGCAAGTGAACCCTCTTTTAGCTCCCAGGGTTTTTGTTTAGGGTTGGAAGGTATAGTTGTCCAACTTAGAAGCAGGAAAAAGGCGATGCCCCCCTGGTTCGCTTTGGCGTTTTCCGAAAAAGACACGGCCACACAGCCGCTTAGGAGAATCCTAGAAAGCCAAGTTGCGATCGCATTTTTTCAGTCACAGTTGCGATCGGTTTTTTTTAGGTGCACCGTGCATGGAAAAGAGCGATCGCAACTGGCGATCCGGCCGAGGTCTTCAAGCTGGACATCGACGAGCCGGAGACGGAGCGGGAGCTCTTTGGCCAGCTGATCCGACCCGGTGGCCCTGTATCGCAAGGAGCGCGGAGCGCATCGAGCGCTGGGCTCTCGCACATGTTTTTTGGCTTCGGGGGCGTTCCACTTGATTTTTGTTTGTTTGTTCGATTTAGATGTCACCAACACATGACGTGTGGCATGGCTTGGGCTTCAGGTTCACCGGGGATCGGCAGCAGCTTTCGGGGATCACCATCACCACAATCACTACAGCCACCGGGGGATCATCGTGATGGTTGACATCGTTTTCATCATCACGTTGCCGGCATGGAGTCGTTCGGGCTCGAGTTTGGACTGGCCTTTCAAAGACCAGCCGAATAGATCAGCCCGATTCGCGATCAAACCGACCTTCCAGAGAACGCCCACGGATGTTACACGTCCAAATGTCCGGGGTTTAAACCCGGGCCTTGGTTCTAGCTTTCTTCGAACTCCGTCTCCTGATGGTCAAGATCCATTTCGCACCCTGGATACAAACCGATTCAACCTTGGCGGTTCCCAGCTGTCCGGTTCCTTAGGTTTTTAGTGGCTTTTGGTTGGGTGAGTGGTCGGGTTTCCGATTCTCACCCACAATGAGTCAGTTTTTGCAGGGGATCTGAAAACGGGCAGGCCAGCAAGTGCTGCATTTCGCACCATGGACAAACCCCGAGGCAAATTGCGAGAAAACACCAGTTATGGATAAGACTGGGGTAAATCATCTTCCAACCGGCGGCGACAGTCTGTTTATGTCGCGCTTGAAGTGCCGGGTGTCCGAGCCTCTCGATCTCCAGGCCTTTTGGATGAGTTCTTCTGGGAGGACCACGTGGACTTGCCGGCCTACGGCGCCCGGGCAACGGATCCCCCGGCTTCCCTCAATTCGGTCTGCCCCCTGCGGCGGTTTGAAGAACGCTTGGCCGGGCTAATCACAGCTGTAGCATTGGTGTTTTTTTCACCAAGAAGTTTGTGACATTTGGCAAGAACACATTGGCTTGAACCTTTGCTCCCGGCGCCGCGATTTGTTAGATGACATGCTTGAAGCAAAGCCTAGTTTTTAATGCCGTTGATTGAGCTTCTCGGGGCTAGTTCGTAGCATGAGCAACTCACAGAATTGCCAAGGTATCGTATCAATATCTGGGCTGGCCATGTTGTAGACTATTCCACTCTTGATCACATTCAAGCTGGCTGCCAGTGTGCCGGCAACATAGTGACTTTGTTCGTGACCCGGCAACATCCCGGTCAACTGTTCCAACTTTGGGAGAGTGCAGCCCAAACGCGCCCAAAAGCGACCCGGTACCCACAAAAAACCCACCCCAGCCCACCCCAACCCACCCCATCCCACCCCAACCCACCCCATCCCACCCCAACCCACCCCATCCCACCCCAACCCACCCCAACCCACCCCAACTCTCAGTTCTGCAGACGGATGGGCAGATGATGGTAGATGAGCATGGGCTAGAAGGAGAAGTAATGGCGACGTCTTTGGCAGAGCACTCTTGTTTGGGGAATGTCATTGGTGGACCCACCACTCTCTCTTAGTGGAAATGCATTCGGAAAGGAAAGGATGCAGCTTTGGCCTTGGCTCGCTGTTCGCTTCGTTGGGATGTGAGTCTAGCATACGAAGACCTTGGGTGTTTGCGCCCCTTGCAGGATTTGCGCCAACCCACCTCCCCACCTCCCCACCTCCCCACCTCCCCACCTCCCCACCTCCCCACCAACCCACCAACCCACCAACCCACCAACCCACCAACCCACCAACCCACCAACCCACCAACCCACCAACCCACCAACCCACCAACCCACCAACCCACCAACCCACCAACCCACCCCCTTCTGAGGCCTCTTCGGAGGCAAGGGCACCCTGGAGGAGAGCTACCAGCGCTTCCTCCTGCTGCGCGCCCGCGGGGTGCGGGCGCACGCCTGGCCGTGAATCGTGAAGCTCCCCAGAGAGGTCCCCACGCCACGCGGGCCACGTGCGGCGACGGATCAGCTGGGCCGCGCCGGGGCGTGGCTTGAAGCTCGGAGAGCGCACCCGGGTCGATCCCTGGAAGGTCTGGAAGGTGGGCAAGGTGGCGGCGAGGTGCTGACTCGGTGTCTCTAACTCGGAAGGCTCGGGGCTGATTTGCGAGGAGAGATGGCCTGGCCACAAAATGGTGACATGCTCGACTGTCGAGCTATGAGGCACATCGGAGAAAATGGCAGCTGCACCGTGCTCGGGTTGCAGTTTTGGACCCTTGATTACCCTTGATTGTTGGACAGCCAATGTAAAGTTGCCTCACTGCAAAGTGTGCAGGTAGCTTGTACCGATGCGTTTGCACGAAACAGACAATAGAATCGTGTCAGGCCTTTTCGCGCTCTGTAAGCTTGCGATGTATGCGGCAGGCACAGAGTAACAGCATTGCCTATTGTTGCTTGCTTCCAAGGGATGCACGATGAACAAGTGACAGTCACGTTTGTTTTGGGAGTTGGGGGTGAATATACTAGTGGCACGCAAAATATGCCAAAAGGAGGGACCCAGGCGAAAGCTTGCCGACAAGACGCAGAAGAAGACATGGGGGTTTAATGGAAACTATCAAGAAAAAAAAACAACAGCCACTAAGAGCCAAAGTAACCTTGGATGGCTGGGAACCACAAAGGGAAGTCGTTTCACTGGGTTGATCAAATTTCTGTTCCATCTGCCTTGGCATTTGCCTTGGGACTGTCCTTCATGAGGGCTCCTTAAAAGATCTCCATTTTGCAACCATTTGAAGCATGTTGCTTTTTCCTGCAAAAAGGGAAACCACCATTTACAAGTTGCAATGTTCAGATAATGTCAGGATCCCGGTTCATTTGCCCAGGTCCAGCGGGGCCCCAGCATCCTGTCGCAGCCCCTGATGCTCCTCGCCTGCCATTTCTTGCCCGTGGCCATGAGTCGAGGGTTTCCTGGGGTCAAGCGCGCCCATTTTCATGAAGAAGGTTGATTTGGGTCTCTCTTTTTTGATGGCACGCTCTTTGTGGTTTCAAAGCAGGACCAAAAGGACAACGACCATTTTTGGGGGTCCCCCCAGTAACGCCACCCAGAAAACTGGTAGCCTGTCGGCGGTTGGAATTTGGGGCGTCCATCAAAGCTCTGGTGACAACATGTGCGAATGCCCACAAGGCCGCTGGCCCAAGCTCGATGGATTCCACTGACCCCACCTCTCTTGCCCAGAAAAGGTATCAATTTGTGTGCTTGCCAAGCCGTGTTTTCGTGTTAGCTTGGGATTGAGTTGGAGTTGCGCTAGCTATTTGTAGAACAAAGCCATATTTTTCAGGACTGCTGGAATCGTTGATATGTTGCCAAGGATGGTTGTTGCAAGAGCAGGATTGAGGCTTGGACAGGCACTGCAGTCCATTTATCACAATCGATTTTGCCTGGGTCATGGGAATCACATGACAGGCCTGTGCCACCTTTTTATTTCTTGACATGGTTCTGGGCTGCAACCATTTCAATACTCGGTTTTGATTATGACTCACCTTGTTTTGCTTTGCTTAATGGCACCTGATGCAGCTTTTGGAAGGTGATTTTGTGAGGCAAGTCAATGTTTTTTTTTCTGTATGGCCCTCTCCAATGATGGCCTTGATAATAAATGCAACGAGATGCTCTCATATGCGTGTTTCAGAGTTTGTCTTCACGCTACGATGTTCGGATTTTTCCCCAGATGCCGGGTCTTCAGTTAGTTGGCTGCGAGCTGGTGAAAGGGCTGCCCCTAAAGCTTGCTCTGAGGGGCTATTGAGCCAATGCTTTTCTGTGATTCATCTCTCCTGGTTTTCGTCTTGGTGGACGGTATGATTCCTTGACTTTTTTTGTAATCGGATTCATGACATTGTGTTGACCAGACTTCCCCTTCTCCAAGGGAAAGTCACCAGGAGGATATGTGAACCATCCTATTTTCCACCTGCGTCTTGTCGATTTGGGTCAATCCTTCTCGCCACGGAAGGTACGAACATCCTGGGCTCATTTGCGACTTCGAGCATCTCTGCCACCAGGCCTGGCACTGGAGCTTTTCTGGGTGCTCTCTTTGGGGTGCAGGGAAAAGGAACTTGGATGTTCAACCAGTGAGGTCAGCAGGTTAGAACGATGGCTATGACTTAGGTAGCTGGGGTCAGTCTTTTATAACCATGGTTATACCGTACTTACTAAATGGATTTTGTATCTGCGGCATGGACGAGCCTGTCCGTGCGACAGCGTTGTTCTCCAAGATTCCTCGTTTCATGCCGCGCCTTGCGGCGGGCCTTTTAAGGAAAGACAGGCCTTCAGAGGAGAGGAAGCAAACAGAAACATAGACTTTTGGAGGAGATAGGAGGGATATATATATATATATAGAGGTTATTAGATGTTTTGTTCAGCCAATCTGTAAGAGTCTAGCTTGTCAGATGTTCACGGTGTTTCTGTTTTGCATCATGTCCGATGTACTGATTCCGGCCAGGCAACAACCCCAGCGTGGGTTCCAACATGTCCCCTAGGTCATTCAAATTGTTCTGCCGAACTACTCTGGGCACCCACAATTCCCTAATGTCCACCTCTGATTAATAAATAGGGGGGCTCACCCCCCCCCCCTGAATGCCCCTAAATAAAGTTAAGGGGGGGTAGTTTATTAATCGTAGGTGGACATTAAATGCTTAGTTAAAGTTGTTCGGCCAAGTTAGTAGAGGGGCCCCCCGCCAATTGCAGGGTGAACTCCAGTGAACCGGGGGGCTGATAGGTGGGTGAATTCTCACCCAGGCTAGTTGCACTCAAGTAATGTCGACCCCAGATGAATACCCCCTGTTCAGCCTTTGGATTTCTTACTTCTGGAGGGGCCCCCACCCCCATATGACCATGAACAGGTTGGTTTATGAAATCCGGGGCCACTTCCCCAGAATTAAATTTTCCCTTTTGATGTTTCGCTTTTTTGGGGTCCCCTTTGTTTTGCACCAACCAGGCAAAACATATAATATATTTTTTGCTGGGGTCCTAATTCCAGCCAAGAACCTTGGTTTGTATATTCTTTGGAGATGCAGCCGAACCGGTGTTCGATTCCAGCTCTCGCAGGCCATTGGAGCCGACTGGATCAGGACTGACGTTCGTTTCATGGAGCTTGGTGTGGCCTGATGCTGGTTGGTGCTCGTTGGTGCTGGTTGGTGTTGCTTGATTTTGGTTCAAGTTGGTAGTGCTGGTTGGTGTTGCTCGGGATTGTTTGGAGTTGCTTGGTGTTGATTGCTTGCTTGCGACGGCTTGGCAAACCGCACCCTCCAGCAAGGCAGAGCTGAAGGTTTCTTTGCGAGCGAGTGTGAATCGCCGTGTTGCTGTGGAAGGATGGCCTTGGCAGCGTCGCGGATTTGGCTTTGCAACTGTGCCCGTTGGGCAAGGGGGCGCCTTTTTGATGAAATTCGTAAAACACTTACTGTGCTGTCCGGATTCTATTGGCTGTTCTCAGCGGGGTCACACTCGAGTCAAGCCCTGGACGCTCAGAATGGAACATGAGGCATGGCATTTCAAAGGTACAGATGGGCGCGTTTGGAGGGCATTCCTTTTAAACAAGAAGCCAAGGGTAAGTCAGAGGAAGACCCTTCAAACATTCACATTGGGTCGGACATGGTCGGACACATATCAGCCAACACTGAAGTTTTTAGTGTTTCTTTTTGGTGGGGGGTGAGGGTGGTCCTCCCTCGTCGCTTGCCACCTGCAAAGAATCTGGCTTGGCTTCATTTGGTTGACACGGATTGATTTGCACTTCTAGATGAGCAGATGCAGAGGGTGAATCATGACGTCACTCCCCAGCACTTGCCAAGCAACAGCTTTGCATAGTGAACTTCTTTCTCACTGCGTTGCTTTGCGTTGGCTTGAGGTGGGCTTGAGCCGGACATGATCATGAGACTACCCTTGCATCCGCATAGAGGCCCCAAGGTGAAATAGTCAAGTGTTCGAATAATGCATGAGAAGCGGTTAATTGTTGCTTGCGACTTGGCACATCTACGAAAATCTGCCGGCGGACCAACACAGTGCCTACCAAAGTGCATGTTGTGTGTGTGTGTGTGGGTGTGTGGGCCCTTGCTTGCAGGCGTGGCACTTCAACAACTTTGGGTGCAGTCCAAATATTTACGTTGCGCCAGCTGCATGCTGCAGCAGCATAGCAAACCACGTTGACATTTCGTGGCGCGTGTTCTCGGGTCATGTTTAACAAACAGTTGCCGAACCCAAACCAACAGCCTCATGCTTTGCATCAATCTCTGAGCTGGAGCGCTAGAAGAAAGGCCACACAGTTTCAGCATGCAACATTGTCCATGTGCAGGATGCAAAGCGGCAACACGCACGTGAGCAGATGGACTATCGTTTCTTTGGTGAATGCAATTCACCACCCTCCATGGGCAAGCGTAACGTTGCTGTGACGCCACTGTTTGTGTGCGTGTGCTTGCAGGCCTGGGGCGCACAGAACTGTATGTCTGTGCGCGTGCAAACTGACAGTATGAAGAACATTGTCCTTTGAAACGCCTCAAGAAATTCGGTTCCGGCTGACTGACAGAAAAATCCGTGCCATCGAGTGTCAAGCAGCTGAATTTGCGCAAGTGGCATGGTCTCTGGTCATTCAGCACAAATCCTAGAGGCAAGAAGCAACCCTCCGGGTTTATATGACTGAACACAGTTGTTTGTTGTGTAATCTTTGCTTGCCGCTTGGCTTTCAGGATCCAGAACGTGGTGGGTCAGGGCGAGTGGTCGGAGTCGCCGCCTTAGCTTCTGCGATTCGTAAAGGTTTGTGCCGTGGGGAACACTTCTGGTTTGTTGGCCGAAATAGTCATAAGCCTCTTCATTGGGAAGCTAGGCAAGCATAAGTAACTAAGAACTCGTGCGCCATGGCTGCGACCCGCACAAGGAACTATTTTTTAAATGTCACCTCCAACCTGTCTTTTTTGCGGACCTTCATCGAGAGATAGAGAGAGAGATCATGGACCTATTCGGAAGCTTTGTACACGACAACCTACGGGAGGCACATGGTTGGGTTCGAGGTGCTGTGAACACAGAGGCACAGGCGCAGCATCGAAATCAACTTGGGATGGGAAGTCTCAAATGGCATGTGGAGGGCCTCATTGTTTCCATTCCCGCTCTCGCCAGGCAGTCACAGAGTTCCAACTTAAGCCAATAGTGTAGAAGCATACTCAGCTCCGTGCTGATTGTTGCAAAATCATTGGACTTCC